CCCCGTTAGCACCCTCCTCCTCGTTGTTTCTCTTGTCCCCATCTCACTGATGGACAGGGAGGTGCAAGGTGGTCCTTAGGGCTGGCATGGTTCTCATGGGCTGGCGCGGGTGGCTGGAAGGTAGGCAGCTGGGCGGGGAGAACACCAACCTGGGTCCCACATCTTGAGAGAGAGGGGGCTCCCCACGCCACGGGCGCCTCCTCAGCCCTCCGTGTCCGGCGCTCGGCGGCCTGGCCCTGCTGGGGTGGGCCTGGTGTGTCCAGCTGTCTCCCTCCCACACCAGCCCCTCGGGAACTGTCTCGGCTCAGCTGCAGTGTCTCAGGGTCCCCTTCTGTTCTCTCCCTCTCGTCCCCTGTACCTCGGGCTGGGTTGGGTTGGTGGCCTTCAGTGGCCCTGGGATGGGGACACTTGTCACGACCCCTCGTCCCCACCGTGTGTAGCACAGTGACCCGGGGCCTGGAATGTCCGAGAGCTGCCCCAGCCTCCCAGGAGTTGAGTCAGGACCGAGCGCACCCCCTTCCTGTGAGGGGGCGTGGAGGCCCCCAGCGAGCTCGTGGCTGACCCCGTGCCCTGAGCACCCCTACCCGGGCTGTTCCCTTGGTGCCAGGCGCTGGCCTCCTTGTGCTGGTCGCCTGAGACAGTAACGCCCTGTGAGGTCAGAGATCTGGCCGCTGTGATGTCACCTCCCTCCGCCTCGTATGGCCTCCTAGAGGCTTGCAGGCTCCATGTCCGCCCCTGACCACCTCTGGGCGCAGCCCCCAGCCCGTGGGCCCCGCGCCCCCGAGGGAGGAAGAGGGGAGGCCCTGCAGGTTCCCAGGAAGGCAGTGGCAGAGGGGCGGGGCCGGGGCAGATGTGTCACCTCCTGCCAAGGTGTGTGCTCACCTGCCCACAGAGGGCTGCCCCGGGACCCAGGCAGGCCAGGAATGGTGACGTCGGAGTCGGGAAATGACCCAGAACACACCCTGTCCCGTCTTCCCCGTGCTCTAAATATAGACCACAAGAGACAGATGGGGTGACCTTGACCTCTGCCTGCCCAGGCAGGCGCGAAAGGCCTGCCCCGAATCTGGGTCCCCAGCTGCTGCTCCTGCCCCCGTGGCCGCGGCCCAGCCCAGGTTGGAAGGGGTGACGGCTGAGGCCTGGGGCCGCCCAGACCCGGAGCCCAGTTCTGGCTCTGAGCCGCGCTGTGCCCAGGCCATGCCCCACCCTGGCACCTGGGCAGAGGCAAAGCTGGCGCTGGCTTCGAGCGCACTCGGAGCACCCTTTAGCGTGGTTCTTACGGGCTGGCGCGGGTGGCTGGAAGGTAGGCAGCTGGGCGGGGAGAAGAGGGCCCGGCCTGGGGCACTGGCACTCAGCGCTCTGTCCAACCTCGCTGGGCTGGGACAGAGGCCCTGGGGGCGCCACTTGGGCCCCAGCAAGGAGACTGTCTTTTGCCTGAGAGCGGCGAGGGAGCTGTGAAGGATCTGAGGCTCCTCTGGCTGCTGGGGGGAGGGACCAAAGGTGTGTGAAAGCAGGAAGAAAAAGGGGTCTCAGAGGTTTGACCTGTGCCCACCGTCCCTCACCCCAAGGAGACTCCAAGCCAGGGAGAGAGTCCAGGCCATTGGGGTCTGCTCACCCCAGGAGCCCAGCCCCCACCGACAGGGCCAGCAGGCCGGCGTGGCCAGGTCGCCAGAGTTACAGGAGAAGCTGGAGATGTGGATTTTTGATGAAATCACTCTTCTTGTTATGGTTGGCTCAAAATTTTGAAATCACTTTGAAAGCCAAGCCAACCACACGCGTGGCTTGGACTTGGCCTGTCTCGGCCTGGCCGTCTGTCCTTAGTTTCCTGCGCTGGGTGTCCCGGCCGGAGCATCCTGGCCGTGGGGAGGCCCGTCCCAGGCTGCTTCTCCTGGGACTGGGTGAGCTGAGTGTGCAGGTGGAGGGAGGCCCCAGCGCGTCCGGAGGCCCCAGCGCGTCCGGAGGCCCCTGGTCCTCCCGCCGGCCCTGGGACTGCAGACTCCCCCAGATCCTGGGGCTGCCTGCACTGTCCCCAGCTGGGCTGGAAGCTGTTGGCGTGGTATCCCTTCTGGGACCCCGGAAATGGGGAAGAGCTCAGGGGTCACTGCTCCGGGTGAGGAGGGGGCAGGCTCCAGCTGTCCTCCTTTAACTCCTGTGGAAAATTCCAAATAGACACAAAAGCAGAGACATTGGCATCGTGACGCCCCAATTTGATGGTCACGTCTGGCCTGCTCTCGTTTCTCCTCTAACGACCGTCCATCTCCCCACATGCCCCCCATGTTTATTTAAATCCTGGAGCATCCTTCCATCCATAAATATTCCAACATGTAACTCAAAGAATGAGGTTGAATGTGTCAAGCGCCGACAGTGTTGACGGCAGCCCCCGTCTAACCAGCTGCCGCGTCCACGTCACTGCCTGTCTGCTCCCCGTCTCCCGCTTTGCGTTTCCCCGTGAAATGTAGGAGCTGAAGAAACTGGGTGGTTTGTCCTGCAGCGGTTCCCAGTGTCTGGAGCCTGCTGCTCACACCCCTGGTGTGTCTCACGGGGTCCTCGGGGCCCTGAAATGCTCCCGCGTGGCCGCCACGGGCAGAGCCCTGCCTGGCTGGGTCCACATGTGGTTTGGCAAGAACATGGGGATGGGGGTGGCTCTGTGTCCTCCAGCAGGTGACACACAGCCCTGTCTGGTCTCTTTGTGGCTGGCCCTGTCCTGGGAAAAGGACTTGGCCACAGCCTTGGGGGTACATGAGAACTAGAGAGACTCACACACCCGAGGCCCCCCCGAGAATCACAGCCCTTGTCCTATGAGTCTAGCACGGTGTCTTGGGCCTGCCTGACCTGGGTGCTGAGCATGTGTTAGTTATGCCCCTTTATAGGAAAGAGCTGTGGTGGAGCAGGGTGACTTGCCTGGGAGCAGAGGGGGGTCACACAGTAAGAAAGGGAAGGAGTTGCACCCTGGGAGCCGGGGGTGCGTGTGTGGGGGTGCGTGCACACACACCTGTGCAGCTGGAGCAGTGAGTGGGCTTGCCGGACTCAGGAGGGAACCCTGGACGGGTGAGCGAGGCCGCGAGGTCGTGAACACAGACGGCAGCCGGAGGGGCTGCTCAGCAAAGGACACCCCACACTTCACCGCCCATGGGGGTGTCCGGTGGTTGGATGAGAGGCTGCCCTGCCGGCCATGGGGGGTGTCGTGAGGGACCATCCTCTCCCCCACCTCGCCAGACTTTTGGGGTCTTCCCCACCCCAGCAGCCTGGACAGTCACGGCCGGAGAGGCAGTGACCTGGAGTCTCGGTGCCCTCGTGAGTCACTTGGCCCCTGGGCCACTTTCCAGGCTGTAAAATGGGCCTGAGCTTGCTTCCCAGGCCCCTCCCTGGGAGAAGGTGCGGAGCAGCGAGGAGATGAAGTGAGCCTCAGACGGTGCTTGGATGCACCTGGCAAGGGCTGTGCTCCCTGAGGCCAGAGCTCAGCTCCGGAGGGAGTGGGAGGACAGACGCCGCGCGGGAAGGCAGCGCCCGGGCCGCCCCGCCGCCACTCTGGGTGCGCGCGCCCTGGCTCCCCGTGGGGGGGTAGGAGACAGGGTGGGAAGCTCCCCCAAAGCCTCTTGGGTATCTCCACCCAGACCAAATCGCCCCGCCTTTTTATATATTAAAAAAAAAATTCATTGTACTTACTGCATGTTCGTGATCACAAAAATAGTTGAAGGAAACTAGAAAATTCAAGAAGTAGGAGGAAAGGTGCCAAGCACTGCCCGGAGGTAGCCACCGTGGCTTTTGCCGGACAGGGCCGGCTGGTGGCCAAGTGTCCACTCGCGAGGCTCCATCTGCATCCGGGTGCCTCCGCGCCTTGATCGGGGCCTGTGAGCTGGACAGTCCGGGGGGGCGGCCTGGGGCGGCCGGGTCGCCGTGGCCTGGTGAGCTGTAGTGGCTTCCGCCTGAGTCCTCCTCTGGGAATCCCTGTGCCCAGCGCTCATTGTGGCCTGAGGGTGAACTTGGCAGTGGCGGGTAGTGGAGTTAAGGCAGGAGCGCCGTCAGTGCCCTTACTAGGAGCTGCCAACTCCTCGCCTGCCTCCCACCCAACGGAACAGCCGCCTGTGTGGCCCACGAGCAATGGTCTCGCTGGGCCCCACTGCCCATGGCTCTCTGTGGGCTCACAGTGGGTGTGCAGGAGAGGCCCACGGGATGCACAGTCTGGTCCTGTCCTCTCCTTGCAGCTGAGAAACTGAGGCCAACGGCGTGGGCTTTGCAGGCGGGTGGTGGCATTGCCAGGGCTGCTGGCAGCAACTGCGGCCTCCATCCGTCTCCAAAGGGATGATGACCCTGCTTGACCTGGCTATTGACCTCCAGCCTCTCTTCCTCCCCAGCTTCTGGAGAAGGGGTCAGGCCTGCTTCCTCCCCAGCCCACGTCCGCCACCACCCTTGCCCGGAGACCCTGAGCCCTCAAGTCACCAGTGTCCCCAGCTGACCAGGCGGGCGGCCAGGTGCTTGCTGGCTTCTGCCCCACTGGATCCCTTACTCTGGGGTGTCTGGACACGCCCTGTCCGCCCCCCACTGGCCGCAGAACTGAAAAGAGATGGTGCGGGCAAAGCGCCCCGCTCCGAAAGGCCCCTCCCACGGCGCACTCGCCCCAGCTCCGCGGGCTTGCAGATGCACACGCGCGGGGGACACGGGCAGCGCGGGGTGCCGGCGCCTGCCCCGGTGCCAGCCTCGGGGCGCAGGAGCCGCTTTAGCGCGGGAAGGTGAGGCAGCCGCGGGAGCCCGGGCGCCGGGGAGGGGCTTCCCCCGGCCCCGGCCCGGCCCGGCGGACGCTGCGCCAGCCCAGCGCCCCCGCGCGCCCAGCGGGCCCGGCGGCCGTGGGTGCAGCCCGCGCGCCCGGCCCCGCCCCGGCCGGCCCGCCCCGCCCCGGCCTGACCTCCGCGGGGCCGGGCGCAGAGCGCAGGCAGCGCCGAGCCGCGCGCCGGGCCGGCCCCGCGCCCGCGCCGCCCCGGGGCCCGCGCCCGGCCGAGCCGCCCATGGTGCAGCGCATGTGGGCCGAGGCGGCCGGGCCGGCGGGCGGCGCCGAGCCGCTGTTTCCCGGCTCCCGGCGGAGCCGCAGCGTGTGGGACGCCGTGCGCCTGGAGCTGGGCGGCCCCGACAGCCGCGCCGTGGTGCTGCACAGCTTCACGCAGCTCGACCCCGACCTGCCGCGCCTGGAGGTGGGTGTGCGGGCCGCGCGGGCCCGGGGCGCGGGGGACGGGCCCGGCAGGGAGCAGCCCAGGGAGCAGGTGGGCGTGGGCCGCGGTGCCCCCGGGCTCGGGCCGGACCCGGTGCGGCCCCGGACGCGCCCTGGTGCCGGCCGGCACCCAGCCAGGTGTGCCAGCCCCGCGCCCTTGCCGCCCAGGTGGACCCGCCCCGGCGCTGTCACTGTCCGTTGACGCCTGTGAACTTGCCGATCCCGCGGGCTGGGCCGCCTTTTACCTCCGGAGCCAGCCCCGCCTGCAGGCAGGTAGGCTTCCCGGCGCAGGTGGCCAGGGAGTGGCTAGGGTGGTACCCTGTGGAGCCGCGGAGGCCTTCCCGGTGGCCCCTGTGCGGGCACACTGGCTCTGATGCTTGGGGCTGCCCGGAGGAGGGCCGCCGCGGGGCAGGCCTCCAACCCGTGGGACCAGGTGTCTCAACGAGGCCGTCTCTCCTGCTTGGTTACAGCGCGTCGGGGGCAGAGATAGGGAGTGCGCCTGGCCCAGGTGGGGGTGGGGACGTGTTTCTAGTGGGCTCTGGACATGGGCCCCGCGGGTGTTCGGAGGTGGCACCGTCCAGGAGAACCGCCTCGCTGCTTGGCCTGGGTGGTGCGGGGGGGCCGGGGGCTCGGGACGGAGCCTTCACAGTGAAGTTCTTGAGCCCCACGCTCAGGGACTTAGGGCTCCCCCCACTTTCACCCATGTGGGCGACTACCAGCCTTAGTCCTCTGCTGTGTGCCCCCCGTGTCTGGGTGGGACCTGGAAGCACATCTGCCCAGAGCTAAAGGGGGTTTCCTGCTCGCGAAGGGGAGGGTGCTTAGGGGGAGTTCTTCGTGGGGGAACACAGGCTGGGGAGATCCTGTCCTCCTGACCTTGGGGGGCCAGACCAGCGCGAGCGCTCCTGTCCACCCAGCGCTCCCGTCTGTGCTGGCGCCAGGAGCAGGACCCCTGGGAGCGTGGGGGTGGGGGCTGACACCAGCCCAGCGCTCATCTGACTCTCATTATGTCTGGCAGCGACTTGGGCTTTGTGTGCCGGGAGGGTCCAGCCTGTGCGCTTCAGGGGCCGGGCAGGTTCCCGCCCGGGCGGGGCGGCCGCTGCTCTTTCTCCCTCCACCGTCCGCGTCCCTGAGGGGTAGGGAGAGGCAGGTCTGAGGCCCGTCCCTGCCCCGGCGAGTGTCTCTGTCGCTGTCTCCCTGTCGCTCGCCCTCATCCGGCCTCAGCACTGAGATCCAGGCCGTGGCTGCTGTTTAGAAATCAAAGGGGAAGCTTCTGGCTGGGGCAGGAAAGCCAGGGTCTTGGCAGGAGAGGAGGCCACAGCCGGAAACCGAACACAATGACCATTGACCATGGGCTGGGGGAGGGGCGGGGAGTCCCTGTCCCTCCTGCCAACACCCCCCCATCCTGGGCTGATTTCCTGGTCGCAGTGCCGGGCCTGGGCTGAAGGGCCCCGGCTCGTGGTCCCTGTCCGTGCTGGAAACCACCGGGCGCTTCATATCTTCCTCCCCTGTCCCGTTTCCAAGCCTCCACCCAGGCTTCCCGCTCGGGCTGCCGGCGTCCTTGCGCATCTGGATGTCCGCTCATCCCGAGTCCAAGCCCCGCCCGCGCCGCCTGCTTTCTGGGAGTCACCTGGCCCGCGCCCCGGCTCCAGGCAGGCTGCCGCCTCACCTGGTGAAAGTTCCCGTCCGTGGGCCCTGCGACTGTGGACACCCCCCCGCCCCGTCCACCTGCCCTTGCGAGCAGGTGCTGCGCCCACGGGAGCCGGGGCTCTGAGAGGTGAAGGCCTGAGCCAGACATCCCGGCCCTGGGGGGCGGCCGCTCGGAACGTGGGCGGTTGTCCGGTGGCGCCCCGCGTGTGCAGGGCCGCGGGCGCAGACAGGCCTCTGCAGGGAGGGCTCCGGGAGCCCATGGGAGGAGGAACCAGAACCAGGCCCAGGCCGCGCGGGAGCCCCAGGGCTCGGAGCCGGCTAGTGGTGCCTCCAGGCCAGCGGACGCGGGGGCGGGGGGAGCTCCGGGAAGGCGCAAGCACACACCGGGTGCTGGGGGTGAGCAGCATAGTCAGCGTGACCGGCCATGGTGGGAGGACCTGGGTAACGCGTGTTCTGAGCACATCGTGTCCACGCGTGTGAGCGGCCAGTAGCCCATTTAGCCGGTGGGGCAGTGAGCCCTGGAGGTTAAGATCCCCGATCACAGAAGTGGCAGAGGCGGGACTCTGACCCAGGCGGTGTGAGGACAAGGCCTGGGGCCAGTTGCGGGGTGCCCGCGCCTTACCCTGTGCTTGGCCCGGGCCCCTAAGCCCTGAGGGATGCACGTGTGCATGTGCGCATGTGTGTGTGTGTGCGCACACGTGTGTCTTGTGATCATCAAGGAGCGCTTTCCCTGGGCTCCAGAGGGGCGGCTGCCAGCCGCTGGGCCTCCATGGACCTTGGGGTTCTCCTGCTTTACTCCGCTGGGCCCCAGGAGAGTTGGGGAAGGAGGGGGCTGGGCTGGCCGGGGCTGGGTCCTCCCGTGGGCCTTCTGAGCTGGTTCCTGGGAGGCCGGGAGGTATTTGAGCAGCGGGCAAGCGTGGGGGCCCATCCCCAGCCTGGACTTGCCATCCCTGGGCCCACCCTCCCGGTGCTGAACAGGGGCTGACTTCGATTTTGCCCTGGCCCTGCCCCCGAGGGGGCGGCTTCAGGCCACACCAGACAGGGAGGACTGGCTCCCACGGGCCACTGGCCTGCCGCCCAGACAGCTCCCACGGTGAGACACTTCCGTGTCCACTGTGTCCTGGGCTCGGGCCTCTGGCCTCACAGGCCCAGAAACACCGTGTTCTGGGACACCCGGCTCCAGCGGGGTGACTCCAACTCTTTGAAAGGCGGGAGCTCGGCAGACCCGGCCCGGCCCCTCTTTGCAGCGAGCGGCTGCTGGCAGGTGCTCCTGGGCGACCGGTGGGCTCTGGGCACAGGGCCTGTGTGGAGAGCTCTGGCCTGTGGGTGCTGCCTTGGGGTTTCCTTTTCTGGGGTGCCCATGCCTAGAGACACAGCGATGACTTTGTGTATTTTTTGTAATTTTTTAAAAAGATGTATTTATTTATGCACACAAGAACTGGGGTACAGGCCTAAGGTGTGGGGTGGGAGGATTCACCAGAGATGGAATGGGGAGCAGAACAGGCAGATCCACTGAAATGCACTGCTGAGGGGAGCAGCAGGGAGACAGGAGAGGTCTGCTGCGCCATGTGGGTGGCTCCCTGGCCAGGAATCGAACTTGTGCTGCAGAGGCTGCGGATAGCTTCATAGTACTGAGACTTTAACCCCTGCGCCACCAGGGAGGCCCGTGCAGTGATGTCATCTTGAACTCAGGGTCAGGGTCAGGCATGCCAGTCAAGAACTTGGGGCCCCCCCAAAAGGGAAGAACTCGGACTCTGGAGCTCGGAGCCGGAAGGCCCCTCGGAACGTCTGCAGCCCAAGTCCGGTCCCTGCTCCCCGAGCCTCAGTGTCCTCTGTGAGATGCGTTCCGCCAGCTCCTCCCTCGGCTTCTGGGAGAGCGGGTGTGACGGCGGCCTGACCGGCAGGCCCTGCAGAGCCTGGCACAGGCCACAGGCCAGTGTGTTCTCTGACGGGCCGGGCGTGTGGCCACTTCTGCTGGGGCTGGTCCTTGTGCCTGGACGCGGGGCCCTGGCTGTCCCGTGGAGAGCTGGCCACCCTGCTGCTCCCACTGGGCCCGTGGCCTGGGAGCCCTTCCTGAGTCTGGCCTCGGCCGTGTCCGGGTCACCAGGGGCAGGACTCGGCTCTGGGGCCGGGGCTGTAGCAGCCACCAGCAGAGAGGCAGCAGCGGGCCTGGGCCAGAGAGTCACGGGCCAGGGTCCAGATCCCCGCCCCAGCTGCCACTTCCTGGCTCCTAACTGGGGCGCGTCCCCCGCCCACTTTTTTCATCAGTCGAGTGAGGTGCTGGGATTGTGCATGATGTGCGTGCAAGGCCCAGTGTCCAGGGTGTGTCCGTGTGTGCCGTGCTGTGGTCAGCGTGCGGGTCTGGAGGGCGAGGCCCCTCCTCCTTTAAGTGCTGGGGAGCAGCTTGAGAAGACTGGCAGGGAGGATTTTAAGGGATGGGTCAGCTTCTTTGGGGGCTCAGCACAGGCTGGTCCATTCTCTGGAGTTGCCCTGGCAACCAGCCACCTCAGAAGGCCCCCATCCGGCCACCTGGCTGCGGTGCCCGGGGACTGGGAGCATGGCCACCCCTATCAGGGCCGACCTCGCGTCCCCGCCGGTCCTGCCGGTGCCCTGGGCTCGGGGTGCCCGCTGCCACCTGGGCTCGAGCAGGCTCGAGAGCCGGCGCCCACATGTGCTGGGAGGGGCGCCGCACCCCACCTTCCTCTTGAGTGAAATGGGCCCAGTTGTGCTTCTGGCGTCAGAGGCGAACCAGCGTGGCTGGGCTGGAGGCGCCCGATGCTCTGCTCACATGGACGCTGCGGAGAAGGCGTCCTGGTCTGTCGCCCCTTATAAAGTGGGCGGGCGGCAGCATGTGCACACTGCCCAGGGGCCCTGCCAGTGGTCTTGGGGTTCATAGTGCACCCCAGTGAAAGGCACACAGTCAGCAGCAGTCTGCCCCTGTGCCCTGTGTCCACTGCCTGCCGCGGGGCTGCGGCCTGCCCGGTGTGCCCCAGCCCCATTGGCTTGCTGTGCCCACTTCCCAGGCAAGCCCAGCTGGCCAGAGCCCTTGCAGAGACTGGGCGCCCTGGGCAGGGGACTTGGGGGCCTCGGGGGCCGGAGCTGTGGGGGCGGGGGGTACCAGGCCTGGGGTGGCCTCTGAGACCCAGCGGCCCCGGGCGGCAGCTCAATGGGTGGGGAGGTCACGCCGAGCAGCGGTCTTGCGTGCAGAGGCTCTGGCTGCGGCCACCTCCCTGGGGAGGGGGTTGCTGTGGCCTCAGCCCCACTGGCCGCCTTGGAGGAGTGTCTGTGGTTGGAGCATTGGGCCGCGTGCAGCTTCCACGGGGAGGTGCGTGTCTAAGCTGGAGTAGACGGGCGGTCAGGATCAGGGGTGCCATCTCCACGCACACAGCGCGAGTCACCTCCCGGGAGAGGAGGCAGGACTGGGGAGAGCCCCTGGTGACCCACTGTCATGCCTGGTGGGGCTCAGGGCTTGGCCTGTGATTGGCTGGGGACACAGCATCCTGCCCGCCTGTCACCCTGAGAAGGCCGATCAGGTGACACCTGGTGACGCCACCCCGTGGAGGGGGCTTCTCTCATCCTGGGGGTTCTAGGCTGTGCTCTGAGGGGCTGTGGGGTCCGCGCCCGCCCCCCACATGCCTCTTCTGCCAGCTTCTGCTCACCAGGGCCATGGGGGCGCTGGCTGCCCTCCTCTGTCCCCCTCGAGCGACAGCAGTGGGCCAGAGTATGTGAGGCACCCGCCCACCACAGCAGCCTGGGCCCTGGGGCCAGGTCGTGTGGCTTCTGAGATGGAACATGGGGACCTGCCCCAAGGACACGGCGTCCACGCGGCCTTCTCTCTCCTGACATCACAGCCCTGCCCGTGGACACCCCTTCAGGCTGTTTGTGGCCTCAGCTCCGCCCCTGCCCCGCTGGAGTGTGGGGGTGCTGCCCCCGTGGGCAGCGCCTGGTCTTGCTCAGCTGGGGGCCCACTGCGGGTCCTGGCAGATGCTGGGCCGCGGCCGCTTTCCCTCCGTCCCTGCCAGCCCAGCCCTGCACTGCCGCCTCCTGGGGCCAGGCAGGTGGCTCCAGGCCCCCCTGCGCTCAGCTCTGCTCCGTCTGGTTTAGCCCCGGCTGTGCTGCGTGAGGGCCCGAGAGGATGGGTCAGCGCCGCTGGGCTGTGCAGCCCCCATCTGTGACAGGGTGGTGACTCCCCACGCCCAGCATGTGCGGCTCTTAGCATCCTGCCCTGCCCCCCCCCTCGACTGGCAGAAGGGGGCCCCTGGGGTGGGGGAAGGGCCTGGGGATCACATGACACCGGGCAGGGCGGCCAGCTGCTTGGCAGCCGCCAGGGCTTACTGTGGAGCGGCTATTCAGACCCCGGGGACTGCGCAGCCTCCCTGCCCGCCACCCCCCAAGGCAGGCCAGCGCTTCTGTCCAGCAGGCACGGATGGAGCCCCTCCTGGGAGCGGGGTCCTGTGTGGGCTCCTGGGACGCATGAGTCCGGCGCCTCCGGCTGGCTGGTCCTGCCCGGGGCGGCCGAGGGCGCCTTGGACACTGCCTGGCTTCCGGCTGGGCGACATGTGGTGAAAAGCCCCCCGGGAGGGGCAGCCTTTCAGCCGCGCCAGAGGCCCGCGCTGGGTGCCTGTGGGGCCCTGCGGAGAGGTGGGGGCCCCGGCCCGGTGGGTGGGCAGCAGCCCTTCTGCCACGGGGCCCGCAGCCCGCCCCGGGGGTGTCCTCCTGCGGGGTGCGAGGAGGGCCGGGGGACAGCATCTGTTTCAGTTTTTCTGCTTCGGGAGAAGGAATTTCCCCCCCTCGAAGGGTGGGCCGGACTCCCCAAATGTGGGCGGTTTGAGGGGTGTGGGTGTGGGAGCGCTGCTCTGGGGGCCTCTGCCTGTGGACTCCCCACAAATTTCCAAGAAGCGAGCTGGCTCTCGCCCCAGAGGAGGCCATGCCGGCCGGTGTGACTGCGCGGCGAGAGGCGGCCTCGGCGGAGGAAGTGGGCTTCCGGACCTGGTTCAAGGCCTGCCAGGGCCTGCGGGGTGGGCAGGAGGCGAGAGGGCCAGCCCCTGCCCCAGGGTGTTGGTGTCTTGGGGGGTCCAGCCCAGCTTAGACCGAGGCTGAGTCAGCGCTTTCTCCTGCCCTTCTCTGAGCTTCACGCCCTCCTTGGCTCGGGGCGGTGACCCGAGGTCTCCCCCGCGGGCGCTGACTGTGCCTGAAGCCCTGGAGGTCAGTGTCTTTACTCCCAGCCCCCTCCCCGCTGCGAGCTCCCTGCACGGTCAGTGGCAGAGGGGACTGAGTGACCAGGGCTGTGGCCCCCAGGCCAGCCTGCCCACTGGGAAGGGCACTGCCTCCCAACACAGAGTTTTTTTCTCTCCCGGGAGGTCCAGGGAGCAGACAGACCCCCTGTGGTCTCAGCTGAAGCCTGGGGTGTCGCCTCCTTGGGACCCCAGCCGTCACGGTGTGCCACACTGTCCCCGCGCACGTGGCAGGCAGGGAACTGGGGCTCGTTGCGCAAAGGCCCAAGGCCATGAATGGCAGAGGGGAGGAAGTGGCCTCGGACGTGGCATCCAGAAGTCCCTACGCCTCCCCCCAGACCCAAGCTGCTGACTCCAGGGCAGGGTCCGCTGGGAGTGAGGGAGGTGGGCACAGACTGGGGCTGCGGGAGGCACCCCGGGGGCCAGGGCCTCCAGATGGAGCTGGCTTGGTGTCCCGGGGCTCCATGCATCTGCCGTGACATGGCTGTGGGCAAGGGCTCTTCTCCAGGCCTCCATGGTCATCTGTACCCCTCCGGGGGGCACAAGAGTCTTGTCCACACCCGGCTGTGGCTGGCAGGGTGGAGGGCCATTCTGGGGCAGTGCCCACCCACCCCAATGCTGGCGGTCGGTCCCGTGGCCCTGGTCTGTGCCTCATCTGGGGGTGGCAGGTTGCCTGGGCCAGATCCCTGACCCCCGCCATCTGCCCCCCGCTGTCTCTGCAGAGCTCCACGCAGGAGATCGGCGAGGAGCTGGTCAACGGAGTCATCTACTCCATCTCCCTGCGCAAAGTGCAGGTGTGTCAGGGCGCCAACAAGGGCCAGCGCTGGCTCGGGGTGAGTGCGGGCACCCTGGGGCCTCCCTGCTCAGGGCCCCACTGCCTCAGGACCCCCAGTCCTGCTCCCAAAAGTGTCGGGGTCCCCACCCTCCCTCACTGACTGTCCAGGCCTGGCTGTGGGCAGCCACAGAATCACGGTTGACATGTTTGCACCCACATCCCCGCAGATGCCACCACGGCGTTCTTGCACTTTGCCCCAGTCTTGCCACTGCCCTCTCCGGGTCCCCGGTGGCCCTCCCAGCCCCTTCCACATCATCATGCTCAGTAGGGCTGGGAGCTCAGGCTGCTGTGTCGTTGGACACAGCCCGTGAGCCCTGCAGTTTAGAAGCTTGGGTGCCGAACATTCTAGAAGGGAGGCCGGTAACCACGGCGTCCAGTCTTTGTGCTGTGGTCACTTCTCCGGTGCTGTCCAGTCTCCCTGGAGACACTGACCTGACTCGGCTGGCACGCTCAGCTGGAAGTACTCACATTTGTTGAATTCGACTTCTAAAACTGAGCAGCCTCCGCCGGGGACGCTCGTCGGCCCTCTGCCGCACGCCACCGGGCCCCAGAGCGCCAGCCTTGCTGCCTCCTGGCAGGCTCGTCTCATGACCTTCCATTGTTCCACCCAGTGTGAAAATGAGTCGGCCCTGAACGTGTATGAGACCTGCAAGGTGCGCACGGTGAAGGCAGGTACCCTGGAGAGGCTGGTGGAGCACCTGGTGCCCGCCTTCCAGGGCAGCGACCTCTCCTACGTCACCATCTTCCTGTGCACCTACCGCGCCTTCACCACCACCCAGCAGGTCCTGGACCTCCTGTTCAAAAGGTGAGCCCCGCCACCCCTCCTGGGCGCCTTGAGCTCCTCGGCCTGTCTGTGCCTGGGAACCGGGGGTGCTTCGGCGCCAGCCTCGCAGGGCTGTTCTGGGGTGGGTGGTGAGCGCGGGCGGTGTGGACCCCCGCGGGGCCGGTGCCAAGGGCTGCAGGTCTGTGCCGGTTCTCATCCCTGACTCGCCTCTCCCTCCCGGGAAGCTCAGCCTCGGGCTCCCACCCGTGACCATGGCGTGATCCATCTCCAGCTTTCCCGGGCGTGAACTGGGTGGGGACCTTCGTTTAGCAAAAGCGCGAAGCCCCTGCGGCTGGAGGGCTGTCTAGGCAGGAAGCCTGCTTGCGTGCAAGAGCGGCCCAAAGTCCCTGCCCTCCGCCCCAGGCCTCCGTTCTCGTGGGGGTAACGCTGGGCCTCACAGCAGGTATGGTAGGTGTGACGCCCTCACGGCCTCCTCTAGATACGGCTGCGTCCTCCCGTATTCCAGTGGGGACGGCGGACCCCAGGACCAACTGAAGAAGTGAGTTGAGACTTCAGGGCTGTGGCTGGGGTGGGGGCGTGGCGGGCAGAACCCTGGCTCCCACCTGTCCTGGGATTCCCTAGGGGGCCAAGGCCTGGAGGCTTCTCCCACGGCAGGAAGGGGGTCGGAGCACGTCCCTCCCCACCACCCCAACCTGGCCTGTCCTCCCCAGTGCCCGGGCCCAGGCCGGGAGGGGCAGGGGTGCAGTGAATCGAGAGGGGCAGGGCCGTGGATTGAGAAGCCAGCCTGACTCTGCTGTCTCCCCACCCTAGTGCCATCTCCTCCATCCTGGGCACCTGGCTGGACCAGTACTCCGAGGACTTCTGCCAGCCCCCCGACTTCCCCTGCCTCAAGCAGCTGGTGGCCTACGTGCAACTCAACATGCCGGGCTCCGACCTGGAGCGCCGCGCCCACCTCCTCCTGGCCCAGCTGGAGCACGCTGAGCTCGTGGAGGGGGAGCCCGAGGGTGAGGAACACGGGTCGGGCTGGGCCGGAGGCAGGGCGGGCCTGCACCCCCAGAGGTGGGCTGCGGTTGGGATGCTGTCCGGGGAGCCCCTGGGCCTTCTCCGGGAGGCTCCGGGACAAGTGGCCTTGGAAGGCAGGCATGTTACAGAGCTCTGCTCCTCTCGCAGCTCTGTTACCGGCTCCGGTGCCAGCTTTGAGACCCACTCCAGAGCGAGAGCCGACCCCGACTCCCGCCCTGGCACTGGAGCCACCACCGGCCCCACTGCCAGCCCCAGAGCCAGTGGAGGAGCAAGAGCCCGCGCTGGGGCCACAGCTGGAGCCCACACTCACGGCTGGCGAGGCCTCGGAGCTCGAGCTGGGCCCCGCGCCCGGGTCAGCCGCAGGGCTGGAGCCTGCCCTCACCCCCGCTCCAGAGCCAGAGACTGCGCCCGAGCCGCCCGCAGTGCCAGCCTCAGAGCTGGAGCCCGCTCCGTCGCCCACCCTGGAGCTGGAGCCAGCCCCGGCGCCTGAGCCTCCTTGGCCTGCGGCTGCGGAGAACGGGCTGACGGAGGAAAGGCCGCACATCCTGGCTTTCCCTCCCGACCTGGTGGCCGAGCAGTTCACGCTGATGGATGCGGTGAGCAGCCCTCCTCAGTGGGCAGCTCTGCCCTGCCCTCCCCGGCCCGGCCGAGGCCCTGGACCCTCGCGGCCCACGTGACCCGGGCCCGGGCGGCCACCCGCTGCCTGCGGGGCTGCGGCCAGCTGCCTGACGGTCCCGTCTTGCCCAGGAGCTGTTCAAGAAGGTGGTGCCCTACCACTGCCTGGGCTCCATCTGGTCCCAGCGGGACAAGAAGGGGAAGGAGCACCTGGCCCCCACCGTCCGCGCCACCGTCACCCAGTTCAACAGTGTGGCCAACTGCGTCATCACCACCTGCCTCGGGGACAGGAGCGTGACGGCCCGGGCCCGGGCCAGGGTGGTGGAGCACTGGATCGAGGTGGCCAGGGTATGCCTCGGAGGCCCAGGGGCTCCCCCTTCTCCCCTTCACCTGCTCTCGGTGTCCCTGGGGTCCCTGTGGAGACCCCAGGCCCCTCCCAGGGTCCTGCCAGCCTCGTCCCCACATCCGCTGCCCACGTCCTCCTCCTCCCTCCTTGGGCTGGCCCACGCCCTCCTCCCTGGGCCCAGGGGGGCACCCCGGAGGGTCTTGCCAGGGATGGGGTTCCGACGAGGGCGCACCAGCCCCACCTCACGCTGGTTCCCCCGGGCCAGGAGTGCCGGATCCTCAAGAACTTCTCGTCCCTCTACGCCATCCTCTCGGCTCTGCAGAGCAACGCCATCCACCGCCTGAAGAAGACGTGGGAAGAGGTTTCCAGGTGGGTGTCCTTCTCGGCCGCCCCCGCCGGTGTCAGCCCCGCCCGCGGCTGGGTGTCCACGGGCCACAGGCCGCCTCAGAATTCAGCGCCCACCCCTGTGGGGCGGGAGCGAGCCTGACCCCCCGGCACTTGGCGTCGCGTGGTGGAAACAGGACCGCGGTCCCCAGGTGACGCGGCCTGCGGAGCCCTGGTTGAGGACCACACCTCTGGGTTCTAAAATAAAACAGGTTCTTCGCACTCGCCCCCTCCCATCACCCCTACTTTCTCCTTCCCACAGGGACAGTTTTCGAATCTTCCAGAAGCTGTCAGAAATTTTCTCTGATGAGAACAACTACTCACTCAGCAGAGAGCTGCTCATCAAGGTGAGGCTCCGGGAGTCTCCTGGAGGTGCTCCCGGGAGCCCCCCGGCAGAAGCGGGTCTGTGGGCGGGGTGGGGGTGCCGTGGGGAAGGGGTGGGAGGAGGCTGCCTGGGAAGCTGTGGAGCTGCAGGTGAGCGCCCCCCTGTGCTCGGCTTCCTCGGGTGGGTGCCTGGGCTGAGCTGGGTGTCCCTTCCTCCCACACCAGCCCCGCCCTGCGGCCCATCTGCACTGCCCAGGGTGGGTCACACGGGGTGCCCAGGGGCCTGGCCCCAGAGGGGTTGCCCAGCACAGGGTGATTGCCTGAGCTGGGGGGGAGGGGTATGGCATGGAGACCCCTCACCACCCCTAGCTGGAGCAGGCGCCGCAGGTGGGTCCCAGAGAGCCCTTTCGCTCTCCCCTCAGCCCTCGTGTTGGTGGTGCCACGCGCCCCAAGGCCCAGGGATGTGGCAGGGCTGGTGGGTATTTCCACACCTCGTCTCAGATGCGTCCGTGTGAAAGGGGAAGCAAAGTGTCACTGGCAGCGCCCCCGGCAGCCCCGGCTTACTCGGAGGTCTGCGCTGGCACCGAGGAGACCCCAAGGCAGATATCTGCAGGGGGCATCCTGAGGGGCTTCCTGGGAGGTGACCCCGCCAGGGGCAGACCTCCATGGCACTGGGAAGACAGGACCCAGCCAGCCCCACTCCACCCCGGCCCTTGTCCCCATGGCTCGGTTGGCTGGGGCCAGGCACCCCCAAGAGCCCCAAGGACCGGCCGGTCAGTGGTGGGGAAGTGGGCATGAAGGCCGGGGCAGCCTGTGCTCTGAGTCCCTGCAGGACTTGCAAGCCACCACCCCACCCTGGGCCTCAGTTTTCCCATCTGGACCAGAGGCGAGGAGGCCAGAGGGAGAAAAGGAACGTGGAGCTGGGCAGGCCCCTCAGGACGGGGAGGCTGCACAGCCCAGCCGGCATGAGGCACTGAGTCCCCGGCGACCCCAGAGGCACTGGGGTCTGGTCTCACCCTCAGCCTGAGGCCAGAGGTCGGGGCTCTGGAGGGGTGAAGTGGAGGAACGCCTCACTGACTCCTTTCTCCCCCCCTGGCAGGAGGGCACCTCCAAGTTTGCCACCCTGGAGATGAACCCCAAGAGAGCCCAGAAGCGTCCGAAGGAGACGGTGAGTGTATCTGAGGCCTGAGTGGGGCTGCCTTCCTGGAGCCTGCCTCCTGCCGCCCCTGTAGGAGCCACCCCTGTAGGTGTGACCTCCTGCTGCCCCTGTAGGCCTGCTTTGACCACCTACTGTCTTAGTGGGGTTAGTGGCAGCTGCCAGGCCTAGGGCTGGCAGAATGGGTCTCGGGGTGTGGGGTTGAGGTGGGGCCTGGGACCGTAGGCCTGGGGGCTCGCCAGGATATAGCCCTGGGAGTGACTAGGGAGACTGAGGTGCCTGGGGTTGGTTGGGGGTGAGGGTTCCAGGAGGGCCCTTGGGCCTGGCTCATCGGCCCCTCCTTGTCCCAGGGTGTCATCCAGGGCACCATCCCCTACCTGGGCACGTTCCTCACCGACCTGGTGATGCTGGACACTGCCATGAAGGACTACCTGTATGTGAGTGAACTGGGGCCGGGGCCGGAAGCCTGGAAGGGCCCCCAGAGCTCCCTGTGTGTGGGGACCATGCCCAGCGGCCATCGAGGGGCCAGCTCCGTTCCCTGCTGGTGGGCCCAGGGCCGCAGGGGTTTTGGCCGAGCTGGACACCGCCTGGCCCTCAGGCCCTCTGCAGTGGCGGAGGCCAGGTGTGTGGTGGCCAAGCTGGGCGGGGCCTGTCCTCTCCACCTGACCTCAGAGGACTGGGGGATGGTCCCTGAGCCTCTGCCCCAGCCCTTGCCCTGGCACCCAGAACCCACCTGAGACCCAGGTGTATGCCAGGTGTGCCCTGCCCCCTAGCGTGTGCTCTCGGTAGTGCGGCCTGAGGCGGGAGGGCCCAGGGACACTTCCTGATGGACCCTGTTGTCTGCCTTGCAGGGGAGACTGATCAACTTCGAGAAGAGGAGGAAGGTGAGCAGCTGCCGCCCTCACCTGGTCAATGAGGTGGTGGGAATCTGAGACACTCCCCCCCCAGGACACTCACTGGCTCCGTCCCCCTTCCTCCTAGATTAGTGAGGGGGGAACCCCAGGAAATAAGGGGCTGGGATGGGAATAGAGAGGAAGAAGGGGCCCCGAGACTGGACCTTGCCTGCCCGGACCCACCCAGCACCCCACTCAGACCTCCACACCATCCTGCCAGGCTCCCCCCAAGCATCCCACCCGGGCCCACTCAGCACTCCTTCCCAAGCCCCTCTAGCATCCCCCAGGCCTCTCCAGAATCCCCCGGCACCCCCAGGCCTCCCCCAGCACTTCCCCAGGCCCCCCTGCACCCCCTGGTGCCCCAGCTCCCACATCCCTCCGCGCAGGAGTTCGAGGTGATCGCGCGGATCAAGCTCCTGCAGTCCGCCTGCAACAACTACAGCATCTTGCCCGAGGAGCGCTTCGGGGCCTGGTTCCGCACCGTGGAGCGGCTCAGTGAGAGCGAGAGGTGAGGCCGCTGGGCGGGGGCGGAGTCTGGTGTGGACCCCGAGGCGGGAGGAGACTGGGCTGACTCCTGGGGCTCACAGCCGCTCCTCTGTCCTGTAGCTACAACCTCTCCTGCGAGCTGGAGCCCCCGTCCGAGTCGGCCAGCAGCACCCTCAAGGTGAAGAAGAGCACGGCCATCGTCAAGCGCTGGAGCGAGTGAGTGCCGGGTGGGCAGGGCGGGCCGCCTGGGGCCGAGCCCCCAGCCCCCAGCACACTGCCCCCGACCTGCAGCCCCCCTTGAAATGGGGTGAGGCTAGATGGTCTGGTGGACACAAGGCGTGTGTGGGGTGCTCGGCAGGGCCCGCAGCAGGTGCCAGCTGGGATGCATCCCTGGGGGACCCCGAGTCACCCAGCTCCACCTTTAGCCGCCAGGTCCCCAGCACGGAGCTCAGCGCTGGTGGCAGCTCCCACTCCAAGTCCTGTGACCAGCTCAGGTGCGGCCCCTACCTCGGCAGTGGAGACGTGGCCGATGCGCTCAGTGTCCACTCGGCTGGCTCGTCCAGCTCCGACGTGGAGGAGATCAGTGTGAGCTTCGTGCCCGAGTCCCCGGATGCCCAGGAGAAGAAGGTGCCTGCCCACCCCGCCGCCGTCCTGCTGTTCCCCACCCCCACCCGGAGGGCACGGGGCGCCCACCCCCAGCTTCTCGAGGACGAGAGTGGGCCCCGGGCTCCCCCTGATGGCGCTGTCCCCACAGTTCTGGGAGTCAACCTCCCAGTCGTCCCCGGAGACCTCGGGCATCAGCTCCGCCTCCAGCAGTGCCTCCTCCTCCTCGGCCTCCACCACGCCCGTGGCCTCCACCCGCACCCACAAGCGCTCCGTCTCAGGGGTCTGCAGCCACGGCTCCGCGCTGCCCCTCTACAACCAGCAGGTGGGCGACTGCTGCATCATCCGGGTCAGCCTGGACGTGGACAATGGCAACATGTACAAGAGCATACTGGTGAGCGCCGCGGGCCTCGCCGCAGACAGCCCGGCCCTCAGCCCTGCCCTCCCGTGCTGGCTGGCCTCGGGGGCGGAGGGACTGCGTCCGCTGGATGCAGTCAGCCGGTGCCCAGTGGTGGTCCTGGTGCTGGGGACGGGGTTAGACCAGGGCCGGGGGGCTGGGGGGCAGGGGTAGGGCTGAGAGTCTGGTCAGGCGTCTGCCTGGATCCTGGGGGAGAGAACAGGAGCCTCGAGGTCAGAGCAGAGAAGGGACAGTGTCTGGTTTCTCCGCGGGGCCTGGGCTGGCACCGGAAGCGCAGCGGGCAGGTGACAGTCCCCTCGCAGAGCAGAGTGGCGCAGCGGGCTGGTGGCTGTGGAGGCGGGCAGCTGTGTCAGGCGCGGGTTGTAATGTGAAGGTCAAGATGGAGCCACTTGGACTTGCCCGGGAGTGGGCATGGGGCTTGGCTCGTCCTTAGTGTGTGGGCTGCAGAGAGCCACTGCCCCTCCCCCGCCCGCTCAGGTCAGGTGCCCCATCACATGCCCACCTGTGCTGAGCCCCATCACATGCCCACCTGTGCGGAGCTCGCTCCCTACCAGAGCTGCCGTGGCTGTCATGCAGCCATCGCGGGTGCTCTGACCCCGGGCTCAGGCAGCTGGGGCCCACCTGTGCCGACCATCACCCCGGCGCAGGCCTGGCCAAGCCCCAGGCCTCTCACTGGCTCCTCCTCTGACCGCGGGCAGGGGGCAGATGCTGCCTATCCCCTGGACTCGCTGATAACTGAGGGGCAGGCAGTTTCCTGGGTGTGGGAGGCAGTAGCAGGGCCCTCCTCCTTGCACAGGGGCCTTCCCCAGGGTCGGGAAGGTGGGGAAGGCCCCAGCTCCTGGCCAGGGCTCTGAGCCCCGAGCCCAGTGCCGAGGAGCTCAAGGCTACCTGGCCTCTGTGCTCGGGGCGCTGCCCCGGCCCCCGGCTAATGGCCCGCCCCGCCCACCCCAGGTGACCAGTCAGGATAAGGCCCCCGCCGTGATCCGCAAGGCCATGGACAAACACAATCTGGACGAGGACGAGCCGGAGGACTACGAGCTGGTGCAGGTCATCTCAGAAGAGAGAAGTGAGTTGGGCCGGACGGCAGGGGGAGGGCGGGGGGGGTGGGCTGGCGCCGTGCCCAGACACACTGCTCACTGCTCGGGCATGTGCCCTGTGTCCCCTCACTGCCCCCTGGACCCGGCGTGCGCCCTTCCCCGGGTGTGAGGGCAGAGCTAGCGTTGCAGAGAAGGGCCCCCTCGAGGGCACGGCGGCCAGAGGGCCGGGTCCCCGCGGCCACCGGGGACGCGCTGGTTGAGACGGGAGGGTATGCGTCAGCGGGAGTGGCGCCTGCTGGGACTGGGCGGTCGCAGCCTGAGTCTGGGGTGAGGCTTAGGCCAGAGCGCTGCCCACCGAGGCTCGAAGACGGTAGGGATGGGTCCTGGTGGGCCGAGGTCTGGGCGCCGGCACCATCGTGGCACCCGCTGCCCGCGTGCGTCCCCACAGCCACGGGGAGTCAGCCTGTTCTGTAGGGGCCCTGTCCCATTCGTGACCTCTTCACCCCCAAAGGCCCACCTCTCCCACTTTGGGGGATAGGATTGGTGGGGCACAGGCATGCAGGTTTCTGGGGCGCAACTATGTCCAAATACCAGGAAGCCCCATGCAGCAGCAGCAGCTCGCGCCAGACGGCAAGGCCCGAGACCCTGGCCAGGCCCGCAGCCTCGTGGCTGCCCCTCCCCAGTGGAGACCTGGTCAGCGCCCGCCCGCGTGTGAGCCGTGGCTGAGGTCAGGTGCACACATGCTGTCTGCAAGCACACGTGTGATGTGCGTCACGAAGGGCAGCTGGGCGTCGGCACCCCTACATCCTCCGCGCGAGCTGGCCTCCCCCGCCGTAGCCAGACAGTTGTAGACCCTGCGTGACCTTGAGGGTGTCCTCGCCATCTTGCTCCGTGTCGGCTGGGCAGGGGGACCTCACCATCCAGAGAGGAGACGGCGGCCTCCCCAGCCTGAGGGGCCGGGCCTTGGAGGCAGGAGCTGGACGCCAGCAGCAGGGCTGCAGCAAGACTCCAGGGTGGAGACCGTGGGCAGTGGGAGAAGTACCTGCCGGACGCCCAGCCCGGGCTGGGGGCCCAGGCCAGGCCCCCTCGCTGGGCCCCGAGCCCTTCTCCTGAGTAGGGCAGGATGCAGGGCGGGAGGTTGGGGCTCCAGGAAGCTTTTTCCAGCTGGGGACCCTGATCGGCCCGGGCAGCCGGGGCCAGACAGTGGGGGCTCTGCAGCCAGATCCCTTTCAAACCTCAGTCCCCGGCAGTGGCGGTCCTGGAGTTGGACTGGGGTCTCCGGTCTCCAGTTCGGGGCGGCCATCCCGGGAGGTTCTCAAGTGAACGGGTGTCCGTGGGACCCCCTTGAGCACCACTGACTCCCTCTGCCCCGCCCCCCAGAGCTGAAGATTCCCGACAACGCCAACGTGTTCTACGCCATGAACTCTGCGGCCAACTACGACTTTGTGCTGAAGAAGCGGACCTTCACCAAGGGGGCAAAGGTCAGGCACGGAGCCAGCTCCACCCTCCCTCGCATGAAGCAGAAGGGGCTCAAGATCGCCAAGGGCATCTTCTGAATGGCCCCGTGCTGTCCAGCCGCAGGAGCGCCCTGTCCAGGTCTGACTGACCAGCGGCTCAGCACTTAGACTACAGAGGCCCTGGCCAGGCGGGCACCCTCTGCCCGTCCTGCCAGCCCAGACCATCCCCAGGACCAGTTCCACCCCAAACTCTCCCGCTGCTGGGATTGACGCCTGCACAGGCTGACCCGGCCTCCCGTGGACCACTCGCTGCCTTAGGTGCCTTTGCTCTCTCGAACCAGAGGCCCAGCTGTTCTGCCAAGGGGTGCTGCCCTGGGCACGGACCCCCGTGTGCCGCCGGCACCGCCTCCACACACCTCCAGTGTGGGTCACTGCCGCCTGTGCCCATGGGCACCCTCGCGCGCCTGCTTGTCCACCGGGCCTGACCACAGGTGTCCTTGCCTCGGGCCCATGGCCCTGCCCAGGCCCTCCCACCACTCTGGCCTTTCTCAGGCTGCACCAAAGATTCCATCATCTGGGCCAACAGAGGGGGAGGCTCTCCCACCCCTGCGCCAGCCCTCCCCCGGAGAGGGGCTCTCCACGGACCACACCCACCTGATGAGTGAGGCGGCTCCAGCCAGGCCCTCGACGTCGACTCCTGCGGGTGCCGCTCTCCACTGCGTCCTGGGCTTCACGGGCCACTTGAGCCAGGGCTTAGCGGGAAGGGAGGAGGTGGGGGGAGGGGCGGGGACTGAACATTTGTAAAAAGGGCAAAAAGATGTTTACCAGTTGGGGAGGGGCAATATTTATTTGTTGTAAATAGCAAATGGTAGACTTGAATATTATATTAAAATCCTGTTTCTACTATAGCCTGGGAGTGATGGTTTTAGTCCTTCATTTCCTGGCTGATTTGAATAAGACACAGACGCTCACCTTGTGTGACCAGGTAAGAGACCTTGCGGGCTTTGGGCTTGTTTTGTGCAGAAGGAGTGAGAAGGACACCCCCGCCCCCCGCGACTCACCAGAGGAGTGAGCCAGTCCCCCTTCACAGCACAGGTGTCACTGGCGCAGAGGCACCCCTCAGAACGCCTGGGGTGTCTTAGAGTTGGAGGGCACAGTGACACCTCTGGAATTCCGACACGTTACTTTAAAAGTAATGTCTGTGACAGAAAATGGTGGAGTGAGAGGCTCCAGGGCTCAGTCACGCCTGTAAACAACCACGAAGCTGATAAAACCCATCAGAATCAACAATGTGGGCGCTGGACCCTCACACAAACATGAGCAGGGGGTGCCTGATGGAAGGGGGTGCTCTGCCAGGCCACCCTTGGACCCCGAAACAATGAGGCAGAATTGCAGTGGGCTTGCGGAGAGAGGGGGAATGTCGCTGCAGGGGGAGAGCCCCCGAGGGGGAGAGCGCCCCACGGCTCCCACAGGTAACACTCCAGGTCCAGGTGTCAGTGAATTACAAGGCATAAAAGCAACAGGAAAAGAAAGCTTGATCACAGGGGAAAATAAAGAATTTGACAGAAACACTCCGAGGAAAAGCCCAGAACATGAATATGACTTAGCCCGTTAAATCGACTGAAAACCGTGGGCAAAAAAAACTACGGCAACAGACTGTAAGAACAAATAGGAAATTTAACAAGGAGCTAGAAGTTATCAAAAGGAGCCAAATGGGAATTCTGGAGCTGAAAAGTACGATAATGTAAATGGAAACACAGAATAGGGCAGAGCCCAGCGGGCAGACGCGAGACTCGTGAGACCACCCACCCACCCACCCACCCAGGGAGAGAGGCCGGGGTGCCTCCCCTTTTAAAACAACCTGTAAGAGATGAATATGTGGCCATAGGAAGCTCCAGATGCTTCATCCCAGCTACACAGTCTCAGGACTTCCCCAAAGAGCTGAAGAATGAAACTTGGTGGCTGCTGAGGGACAGCAAGGGAGGGACCAGAGGGGGCGCTGGAATCACCACGATCGAGTAGGGCTGATTTCTTGGCCCAGGGCTGGTTCACCAGTGTCATCCGTCAGATCAAGAAGCCAAAAATCACACCATCGTCTCAATGGATGCCAAAAAAGCATTCCTCAAGATCCAACATCATGTATGATAAAAACTCTCTAAAAAATGGGCATAGATGGAACCTATATAAATATTATGAAAGTCATATAAAAGACCAACCTACAGCCATCAGAGTTGATGTTGGAAAGCTGAAAGCAGTGCAGGAACAAGACAGGGATGGCCACGGTCACCACTATTACTCAACGTAGTTTTGGAAGTCCTTGCTGAAGCAATTAGGCAAGAAAAAGATAAAAGGAATCCCAATGGAAAAAGAAGTGAAACTGTCAGTGTTCGCGGATGACATCTAGCATACTTAGAGAAACAAAAGGATTCTATGAAAAATTTCTAAAATAGGCAGCACTCCCACTGCCCACCTGTGACTGTGCAGGTGCCTCTTTTCACCACCTCTCTCCCGCTGCAGGACTGCAGACTTCCTGCCTGCCCATGACCTGTCAGAGGCCTCCTGCCTGCAACCATGCAGGCCTCGCTTAGCAAACCTGTCCCTTCTGGGGCAGCTCTTCCTGCCTGCTGGTGTCTATGCAAGTGTACTTTACTTTTCTAACCCTTTTCCTAATAAGCCTGCTTTTTTTTTTTAATTTATTTATACAAGCACTGGGTACAGTCAGAAGCACGGGAGGGTGAGAGAATTCACCAGAGCCAGAGCGGGGAACAGAACAGGCAGACTGTCGAAGTACACTGCTGAGGGGAGCAGCGGGCGGCAGGAGAGGTCCGCGCGCCATGTGGGACCCTCCTCCGGTGGCCTGGGAGCAGCCGGGGATCGAACCAGTGCTGCAGAGGCTGCGGGCAGCTTCGCAGCCCAGCGCTCAACCGCTGCGCCACCAAGGGAGGCCCTAAGCCTGCTTTTAAAATATATTAAAAAAAAAAAACAAACCTAGAAATAATAAGGAGTACAGTAAGGTGTCAGGATACAAAATCAGTACACCCAAATCGGTGGCACTTCTATATGCAAGTGATGTATCAAAAGAAAGGGGACTCGGGAGGACAGTTCCATGTCCAGTGCCAAATAGGATGAAACGCCTGGGAATAAACTGCCCTACAAGATCTGTTCAAGGGAGGCTTCAGGCCTGGAGAGCAACTCAAAGCCTTATGCAAAAGTAAGAGCACGGGTAGGGGCACTCCTAGGTAATCATGGAAGTCTATTATTGCACTTTTGATTTGTAGCTCCTTTTTTATATGATTTTTAAAAGCAAATTCATAAGACAATACGTTTCCATTCATGTGAACACAATGTATACAGTTAAAATCGGCGACAGCCACATGAGTGGGGGTGGGGGGATGGAGGTAGGGGAACTGAGTATATACCACTGAAAGCAACTTGGTATTATGCTAAGTAGGTTGTTATAAATTTAAGATGTTATAATCCCAAAGGTAACCAGCAAGAAAATAAGATTTTAGAAATACACAGGAAAGAAGGGAATCAAAATGGTGTGCGAGGGCCTCCCCGGTGGCGCAGCGGTTGAGCGCTGGGTTGCGAAGCTGCCGGCGGCCTCTGCAGTGCCGGTTCGATCCCCGGCTGCTCCCCGACCACAGGAGGAGGGTCCCACATGGCGCGCAGACCTCTCCTGCCGCCCGCTGCTCCCCTCAGCAGTGTACTTCGACAGTCTGCCTGTTCTGTTCCCCGCTCTGGCTCTGGTGGATCCTCTCACCCTCCCGCGCTTCTCACTGTACCCAGTGCTTGTATAAATAAATAAATAAATAAATAAATAAATAAATAAATAAATAAATAAATAAAAAAAACAAAAAAAATGGTGTGCTAGAAGAAAATCAGCTCAGTCTGTAAAAAGTAATAATGGAAGAATTGAGGAACAAAAATGTGTAAAACGAGATAAATAGCCTGATGGACGAAAGAAGTCCTTGTTGTAATGACCATAATTAAGTGGGTTTAATTCTCCAACTAAAAGTCATAGTTTGGCAAAACAGATTAAAAGCCATGATCTACGTATATGTTGTATTTGAGGAGAGTCTTTGGATCACAAAGATGAAAAGGATGAAAGAAAAAGTATAAATACAGATATCCCGTGAAATGAGGAAAGGCAGCTGTGGTAGTTCTGTTATCAGACAAAATAGATTTTAAGTCAAACAGATAACAAGAGACCAGGTCAGCTTATATTGGTCACCAAGAAGAAATGGCAGCTGTGAACATATCAGTTCATCATGCACGTGAGGCAGAAATTGGCACAAAGAAAGGGATGAACAGTTGAAGGTCTTAACCCCTCACTTCCAGTAATGTCTAGGACAAACAGAAGGAAAAGATCCTTAAGGATTGCTCAACTACCGACTATGAAATGTGGCATTATTCAAATTGGGTTGTTAACAGTTTAAGATATTCATTGTAATCCCAAAGGTAACTTTCTTCAGCATAACCGTATGTTAGATCGTACACTCAGCCGTCATAAACCTTGAGAGTTTGCCGCCCTGCAGTCGCAGTGGAGTAAAGCCAGAAGTCAACAGGAGAAGGGAAGCTGGAACACTCATGAATACGTGGAAATGAAGCGACACACTCAGAAACACACACATGCTGGCGAAGGCCTTGAGACAGACGAGGACAAATGCCACGTACCAAAATGTACGGTGTGCGGTGAAAGCAGCGCGGAGGCGCCTTCCTAGCTGTGGACACATCAAAGAAGATGTCAAATCAGTGACCTCACTCTGTACCTTACGGGACTAGAAAAGAACAAATTAAACCCAAAGCAGAAGAAAGGAAGATTAGAGCAGAAATAAAACAGAGAATAGAAAAACAGTAAAAAAAAAAAAAAATCAACGAAACCAAATGTTGGTTTTATGACAAGATCAACAAACCATATTGACTAAGACAACAGGAGGCAAGACTCAAGCTGCCGGAGTCTGAAAGGGGGACCTCACCGCAGACCGTCACGGCAGTCCTGCCCCGACGGCTGGCGCGGGGGTGTTCGGCTGTGACAACGTGGGTGAACCTTGGAAATGTTAGGGTGCCGCTTAAGAAATGCCTGGCGCAGGCTGTTCTGTGCCCCCCTCTGTCTCAGGTGGATCCTCTCAGGCCCTGCTCCTCTGGCCTGCACCCCAGTGCTATGCAAAAAAAAAAAAAATCCCCGGCCTAGGGACGTGGAGACAAAGTGGAGCCCATGCGGGGCTGGTGGCGAGTGGGGGTGGAGAGGTCCGGCGGGCTGCGCTTGGCGTGACTGAAATGTTTTGGGGGCAGCGGTGATGGTCGCACAAGTGTGGATGGGATTAATGTCAGCAAACTGTACTCCTGAAAATAGTTAAAGGAGCATAGCTTATGCTTTACCCCAGCTTTTAAAAACAACAATTTCCCGACCCCGGACAGTAGCTGCCTTTCCACAGTTTGGAGGAAAAGCGTCATTTTCTGCTGCTCTTAGGGGGTATTCTTTTGACCCCTCATTGGGAACTTGTGGGTTTGCATCGCACTTGTGGGGGCGGGGGTTGCAAACTGACCAAAGTGGGGCAAAGAAAGCTGCCACATGGAGAGAGATGAGGCTTTATTTAGGGGCGCCCAGGAGGGGAGGGGGCCCTCTGGGGCCAAGGGCATTAGAAGCCGATGACTACGGGCATGTGAGCCCCCTCAATGTCCTCGGAGGGAGGTGCGGGGGGCCCCTCAGTGTCCTCGGAGGGGGGCACGGGGTCCACGTTGGAGTCCTCAGAGGGGGGCACGGGGGTGGTTTCCTGGCCGTTCACGGTGGGCAGCGCATGGTAGGTCAGCGTCCAGTAGTGCAGGAACTCGGACCTCAGGTGCTGCTTCATGGAGTTGGCGTCAATCTTGTTGTTGATCTCCAGGTAGTCGCCGTTCTCCACGGTGTAGGGTTTCCAGTGGGTGGGCACAACCGCCCCACCCATGTTGGGGTCCCTGTGGGTGAGAAAAGGCTGGGTGGGGGCTCGTCAGAGACTGGAGGCCCTGGCCCAGCTCTGCCCGGCTTGCTTGGGCAACCCTGGGCGCTGGCCCCAACAGCCGGGTCACCTCCCTGTATCCTGGGGCCTGGCCGGGCACCCACAAGTCCAGAGCTCAGTTCCATCTACACACAGACCGGGACCTCAAGGCTCAGGGAGGTGAAGTGTGAGAGAGCAGGGGCCAGAAGCCAGGTCTGCCGGGCCCGGTGGCAGGAGGCTCAACCTCACCCCTGACTTACCCGCTTCTGGCAAAGTTGGTCCAGTAGGCGATCATGGCCTTGGAAACAGTCCTGTCTTGGGGCCGGTAGCCCAAGGGGGTGGAAAAGGGCTTCCCAAAGACGTACTGGAGGTCATCCGCGTGGTCGGCCCCGACCCACTTGGGGTAGATGGGCATCCGAGAGGGCTGGGAGAACAGGTAGGAGTAGGTCTTGGCACTCCTGAGAAGAGGAGGGAGACCACCCAGATCAGCAGGGCACTGACGCGCCGGCCCGAGCCTGACCCTGCAGGGAGGTCACCGGGGCCGTGGTCTGGGGAATTCCCACCAGATGCAAGAGGAACCGGAATTCTCGTGCCGTGGAAGGAAAATTGGGAAGCTTCGAGGGCCCGGCTGCTTCCCCGCCACCAAAGCCTGGCGGCCACTTCCTCCTGATTCGGTCAAGAGTGGTTTTCTCTCTCCACGGGTCTTTCTGTCCTTCGTTTAATTGGACAAGACTCCACCTGCGGATGTTTCCCCTTTTGCCTTGACCGATGGGAAGCTCGGAGCGCGCTGTGTCGTGCAGCTGTCGCCCAGCTCTCGCGCCGCTCTGGCCGGCGGCCCTCCGGACGGGGCCCGAGCTTCCAGGTTCCTGTTGCCCGCCTATGTTTTGTGCATTCCCAGCTGATTTTTGTTTTCACTGGCCATGATTACACGAGGTCTTTAATGAGGCCGCAGGCCTCTGTTATTAAGTTGGCAAAGTGGAAACCCCAGGAGTGTTGGGGCACCATCCCGCATCTGCCCTTCCAGCATGCGGGCCGGAGGGAAGGAGACTCAAGTGCTTTCAAGTAAGGGAGAGAGTGCCGGGCTGGGCAAAGGATTGGGGGGGGGGGTTCACCCCTCCCTGAGGCTGAGCAGGGACGAGGAGCCCTCCCTAGCGTCCTCGAAGAGGACGATGCAGGCTTCGGGCGTGGGCGGGGCCCCGCTGCCTGCCCAGAGAGCCTCCCCGCCCCCCTCTCACTTGGCGTTGGCTTTGTGCTGGGCCAGGGCGATCTTGGTGGGAATCAGGAAGAGGATGTCCGTCTCCAGGTTCACCATGGTCTTCTTCTTGGTCTCCTGGGACGAGTCTTGGGCCCAGGACTCGGTGTACAAATCAAAGGTGGCATTGGCGCCCCTGAGCCCCTTGATGAAGGTGAAATCACTGACCAGCTTGTAGAAGTACTCGCTGCAAGGACCAAGCCTCCGTCACCCGCCAGCCAGGGCCAGCGGGAGGGGGCTGACGCCCACCCTGCGGAAGCCACCCACGGCCCTCCGGCAGGGGCACCTTCCCCGCGCAGCTGGCCCTCCCCCCAGCACCGCCCCGCCGCGCCCCCTTACTCCGAGAGGGGCACTTTGTTGTTGTTGATGGCTGTGTTGTCCAAGTTGGCAAAAAAGTGGCCGTCCATGTCGTTGGTGCCCACCAGGTAGTCGATGTCGGCCGCGTTGGCGAACAGGTTGATGGGGTCGTCGGGGATGAAGTCTCCGTCCACGACGGGCAGGAAGCCGAGGTAGTAAACGATGGGGTCTGCGTGGAGGACCACAGGGTTCTCAAACCTTCCAGAACTCACCTGCCTGCCCCTTGGCTGCCAGGTCTCGGGGTGACTCCACCCCGACAAGGCCCAGGGGACAACCCTGCCCTCTCTGGCCTACACCAGGGCTCCTGGGCCTGGGACCTCGGCTTTGGGCAGGGTGATTCTGCGGCGGCGGCCTGTCCAGGGGTGTGTGGGGCAGCCCTGGCCTCGTCTGCTGCTTTGATTTTGGGGCCAGGTTTGTTCTGGCTGTTTCACCTTGCATTTCTGGGGTTCGGCAAAGATGCACATGAGGCGCCCCTGTTGTCCTTGACCAGAGGAGCAAGAGTGGATTGTGGCCTCTGGGCCCAGCCTTCCTGGGGGTCAGGGTCCCCGGGCAGGAAGGGCCAGTGGCCACGCAGGGGTTTAGAGAACGCTGGGTGAATGGGCGAGGGAAGAATGCGTGACTGGCTTGCACAAAGCCTCTTGGTATCCCCAAATCTCTCTAAAATTGTGTGTGTCCCTGGGGGTGGGGCCCAGACGTCCATCAGCTTCTCAAAGGCGTGAGGCCCCCTGAGGCCAGGAGAGGACGGCCCTCCTGCCCCCTGTGCACCCCTGAGGGTTCAGGCGGGTGCCCTGGGCCTCAGACCCCCTCCTCCCTTCTCCTGACAGTGGCCCTGCACCCCCCACCCCGGAGCCCCTACTCACACTCCATGCCCCGCAAGGGCAACTTATAGGCCATGGTCACAGCGCGGGGGTCCGTGACCTTCAGACACTTGGCCATCCTGGCGGTGTCGTCCACCGGGCAGCCCACCTTCTCGGCGATCTGGGGGAAGGGCAGGTGGGTGGGCCGGAGCTCGGTGAGCGGGGGGTGGGGCCAGGGCAGGGAGTGGAAAGGAAGACGGTCCCCCCATTCCCCCCCATACCTTTTTGGCCCAGGTGAGGGGCTCCTTCTGGATGGCCCAGGGAGTCAGTGCCACACCGCTCTGGCTGATGGCCCTCCGGATGAGGCCCTTGTTGTGGGGAGAGAGGGTCTGCAACGCAGAGGGGTCCCGTCACCCACGGCCCAGCCTGGCTCAGCAGGCACCCCCGCAGGTCTGCTCTGCCCTGCCCCTCCAGCCTCCAGCGCCTCCTCCTGAGCCCTTCGGGGCAGGTCTTTCCCGCCAGCAGCCCCAAACCTGCAGGGAGACACTGGCAGCTCCAGCTGATTCCCCAAAGATGGTGATGTTATTGGGGTCCCCTCCGAAGGCTGCGATATTCCTCTTCACCCAAGCGATGGCCATGTGCTGGTCCCAGAGCCCGTAGTTACCTGGGTGGGGCGTCGTCAGCACCCTGGGCTGCTGCCAGGGCGGGCCCGGGGGGTTGCATCCAAGTAGGACATGAGGAGCCACCCCAGGGGCTCCCGGGGGACCTCGGGGTGGTGAATAGTGGGTCCTCAGGAGGCGGGTGGGGTGGGGTGCTTGTGGGCCGTGGACCTGGGCCTGGGGATCTTTCTGCCACGGCCACTCTTGTCTGTCTGCCCCTCAGTGCCCACCTCCACCCCTCGTTTCTGTCTCTCTCTGCTCCCCGCCCCGGCCCCCGGGCTCCCCGGTCGCCGTCTGTCTCTCTGCGGCTGGCAGCCTCTTTCCTCCTGCGTCTTACAGTCCATCTCCGTGGCCTGCCTCTGCCAGTGGGATTCTGAACCCTCTGGGGGCCGTCGGGGGGCTTGGGGATGAGGGTCGTCCTGGCCTCGGGCTCACGCCCACCCAGGCCGCACAGACCTGGCAGGTTGGCGTCTCCGGTGCTCAGGAAGCCCAGGGGGCCGACGCGGTAGTTTAAGGTGACCACGATGACATTGCCCCGCGTGGCCAGCTCCTCCCCGTCGTACAGGTAGTTTTTGAGGAAGTTGGGCCCATGGCCGGACCCGATGAGGAAGGCTCCCCCGAAGATCCAGATCATAACGGGCAGGTTCCGGGAGACTGAGGAGGAGGGAGCAGCGGGTGACCCCCGACACCCTCCCTCCAGGAGTGCCTGGCCCCTGGCTGGGGAGCGACTCTGAGCACCCCTCCCCTGCCGGTGTCAGGGGGCTTGGGCTGCGGAGCCCCAGAACAGCCATGGGGCAGGGCCTGGGCCCTGATCGCTGGGAGCTTCCCGCAAGGGCCTGGGGTTGGGGGGAGTCAGACCTTCCTTCTTGCCCTGGGGGACCCAGATGTTGAGGTAGAGGCAGTCCTCGTCCCCGTACGAGCTGTCCTGGGTGATGGTGGCCTGCACGCATCGCTTCTTGAAGTCCTTGGCCTGCAGGGTCCCTGCAGGTGGCCAGAGGCAGTTGTAGGCGGGCGGCCAGCAGGCCCGCTCCGTCTGGGGCCCTGCCCAGCACCTGCCCACGCCCACCTTGCCAGCCGGGGTGTCGCTCGGGCTTTTCCAGGGGCTTAGGGGGAGCGGCGTAGGGGATGCCCTTGAACACATCGACGTAGTCGCCAAAGAGACCGAGCTTCTTGTTGACACCTTCCACGAAGCCTCCTTCGGTGTAGACGGCGCCCAGCTGGGTGGGGAACAGGGCTTGGGTTGGACAGGGGAGGGGCAGGGGTGCTCCAGAGACTGTCTCAAGGAGGGCCGGTCCTTGTACCTGTCCACACTGTGGGGGGAGCCAGAATATTGTCCCCCCATCCCCTGGGGAGCCCTGCTCTTCGGATCTCACCCCAGAAGGCTTCCTGAAGGCTGGGAGAGGCGGGTGGACATTCGCCACCGTGATGGCCACCGCTTTCTCATGCGGACCAGAGCGGCAGTGGGCAGTGTCCCCCCAGGGCCTGTGTGCTGCCCGGCGCCCCGGCGCACTGACTCCCCTGTCCATCCCTGGCTCCCTGAGCACGGCCCAGCCTCCCCCCTCGACCCCACGCTCAAGCCGCCCCGCAGTCCGTCAGACCCGGAGCCCCCACCCCGGCCGGCAGAGCCATCTGTGCCTCCCGCTCCCTTGGGCAGTGAGCTGCGCCCGGGGCTGCCCCCTTGGCCCCCAGGGAGACTCCTGAAGGCTGATGGTCACCCACCGCCCCCCCGGAGGCTCTCCTGCTTGGAGTTGCCAGCTGGGAAGCGGCCGCCTGACCTCCAAGCCCAGCTCCTGTCCCTCCCCCCTCCCTCCTTCACTCCCACCCTGCAAGACTCGCCGGCCCCCCCCCCCGGGGCCAGATGGGCCGCCCACCTCATCACCACCCCCGGGCCTGAGAGGGCCCTAAGCTAATAGGGCCCCAGAGCTCCCCCCACCTCCACCATCCAAGCATCCTTGTTCCAGGCCTCCAGGCGTATTCCTGACCAGTCCCTGCTGCTGGGAGAGGGCCAGGGCCAGGCCAGTGCCTGGGGGACAGGGAAGTCACCTCTCAGAAGAGTCTGTGTGTGATTGAAATTGGCCTGAGGTCCTGAGGTGGCCTCAGAACCTGCCTGCGCCTCCAGGGCCATGGGGCACCTGGGGTGAGGGTCCCTGGGCGAGGGACAGGCTGAGGGCTGGAGACTGGCAGTTGGGAGAGCCGTCGCGGGCCTGGGGGCGCCTATTGGAGCCCTGCAGGTGCAGGAACGGCTGGCAACCCCCCTCTGTGTGTGGCTTTCCTGCCGGTCCCTCCCTCCTGCGGGGGCTGCCAAGCAGGGCTGGCCGGGAGGGGAGCAGCACTGGATGAGGGGGGCGCATCTCCGGAGATGGGGCACATCGGCAGCCACCCCACCTGGACCCGATTCAGATTCCTGTTCAGCTACCGCCGACTGTGAGGTGGGGGGGCAAACCACTCAGGGGCTCTGCACCCCTGTCTCCCCTTCCATCAAAGGGGACACTTCCATCTGTGGGGAGAGGAGGGGCAGCCAGGCACTGCGGGCAGGCCGCCGGCTCGGAGCTGCGACTCCAGGGTGCTGGTGACACCTGCAGTGCAGATGAGCACGGCTTTTCGCTGAGTGTGAGTGCGCCCCGAATTCTTCCTGGCAGCTGCTTGCACTGAAAGTCACCCCTGGTTCCTATGAGACGCCAGAGCCCTGGGTGCCCGGTCACCCCATGAGTGCAGGACCCAAAGCTCAGAGCGGGGCCCAGAGGCGCTGTCCTGGCGCGGCTGGAGGCTCCTTCTTGGCTGTTTTTCCTGCTCGGTCCGTCTGTCCATCTGCCCTCCTTTGCACCCCGGCTCCCCAGTTTCCCGGTTGCCCGAGCAGGAGAGGCCTGGCCCCGTCTGCCGGCCTCTCGCTCACCTTTGCGGCGCTCACTGCGGCCAGGCAGCAGGCCAGGCCTGCGACGAACAGCCCCAGGCGCCCCATGGTGCACTCCTGCCTCTGGGCGGCCCTTCCGCTGGCCAGGGCTATTTATGGAGCCCGGCGGCCAGCGCTGTGCAGAGGGCCCCTTCCTCCTCCTCCTCCTCTGGCTCTGCCCTCCAGGCTGTACCTGGGGCTGTACCTATGCCAGGGCCGTACTTGGGGCTAGGAGGCAGCTGCTTTCCCCAGCCGGGCTCAGCCTGGGCCAAGGTCGCATGCGGGCGGGTGTGCACACACGCACTCACAGGAACTGGCCGTCTTTCCCAAGGCTGCAGGGCTGTCGGTGCACCTGTGCAGGTGGCTGCCCACCTGGGAGCCGAGGCAGGTGGCGCCGGCAGGCTGCAGGGCGGGGGTGGTAGCCCTGTGCCCCGGGCCCGGGGGTGTGGTTCAGGCACTGACTGGAGCTCGTTCCCCCTAAGAGCATGGGGGTGCTTCGCCTCTGAGCCCTGCTGGCCCCTAAGTTCAGCAGGGGGCCCCTGGGGGCCAGGGCCAGTGACTTCGGGGACGGAGACAGCTGGGGCTACGGGTCAGCCTGTGTGGCTCACCTGCTTGCCGAGGGCCTGGGGTGCGGCCTGAGTGACTGCGGGGCCCCAGAGCACTAGCACCAGGTGACCCTGCCCTTGGGTGTGGGGAGACCCCCACGAGCGTCGGGGCCAGAGGCCCGGAGGCAGGGAGGGGCAGGAGAGCGGGCTCAGCAAGGGCCCTGGGCTTCCTCAGCCGGCGCCCGGGTGGACACAGAGGCCAGGTCACAGGAACGTGTGACTGCGCGTGACTTTGGTGACCAGAAAAAGTGGTGACAAGTGAAAGGCCACCGGGCTGGGCCTCCCGGAGGACACACGGGCTCCACGGCAGAGTCCTCTCAATGACGGGGACACACGCAGGGGGCAGCCCGGGCGCTCCGGGCCAACAGCCCCTCTGGGGAGCCCTTCCGGTGTCTGGGGCCCTGCTTGCAAGGCAGGCCAGGGCCCTCCCTGCAGGCATGAGGCAGAGCAGCTGGGGGGAGGGCGGCTGGTGGCCCATGTGGGAGGGAGCAGCCAGGCCGGGGCAAATGTGCCCTCAGCTGGGGGAGCTTGAGGACGGGGGTGCAAAGGGTTTGACGGGTGCTGCCGGGGACAAGGAAGTGCATCTGCTAACACACGCCTCTTGCCTGGCTCTGCCGATTCCGGGAAGCTGTTCTCCAGGAAGTCATTCTGACTGTGGGGGGCCCGTGTGCGCGAGGATGTTGGCTGAAGTGTTGTTTATGGCAGCCGTGAGGAACGGGAGGGGAGGGGGCTGCCGTGCAGCAGTGAGGCCCTGCACACAGTAGGGCGGCAGTAAGCACCATTCCCAGAGAACAGCCAGCAGGGCTGTGTGACCAGGGGCAAGCTGCCAGCTGCACCCCCTGCCTGTGGGCCCTGCTCTAGGGCGCTGACTTCTAGGGGTGTTCTTCTCAACCCGGAAAGACACGCCCCGTGTGTGAGGGCTCGGAGGGTCTCTCCTCCCCGCTCTGCGCAGGTCCTCTGAACTCCCTCCGTGAGGTGTCTCTGCGTCGTGCAGCTGTGCAGGGTGGCTGGCCTTGTTGGGAAATGTGGGGTGTCCCCAAATGTCCTCTAATGCCTCCAGCCCGTTGCTCCTGCCCCCCCACCACCTTCAGCCCGCCCTCCCGTCCCACCCCTGGCTCTGTCCCCGCGAGCCCTCCGCTCCGCACCCCTCTGTCCACCTACCAGAGCTCTCCCTTCCCGCTGGCCCAGCCACTGGACCTTTGCGGGCCCCTTGACTTCCTTCCAGGGCTCTGCAGGGACACGGGGACCTCGGAAAGCAGCCCCTGATGCTGAGAGGAGAAAAAGGCCCAGAACCTGAGGCTTTGCTGATGTCTGGGCAGCTTCAAGGCATCTCGACCACTCGCCTGAAATGCAGTCTTTAAGATTAGGGATCAGGGCAAAGGAAGTTCTAGAAACCTCAAGTGTAGCTACACAGGCAGCCTTCTCTGGTGCCGGCTTCCAGAAACAATTCAGATAAAAACACAAGTGGAGACCAACCGGCGGCCGCGTGTCAGGATCTCACCGGCGCGTGGGGGCAAGTTCAGAACGAAGCGACGTCTGCTCGTGTCCGTGTTCCCGCAGCCTTGCACGCGTCCGTGCGTGCGTGCGTGCTACGCGTGCATGCGTGGTCTTTGTCTACTCCTTACGGTGTTGCCAGATTACTTTTCAAAACCCCTCAGAGGAATTCTGTTCAAACTGGGTCTCGAGAGAAACGAGCACTCCCGTGAACGAGGCCCTCCTCGAGCGCCCGGACAGCCGGAGCCCAGGGCTGTTCCAGGTCACGTGACTTGGGGAACTCTGTGATAAATCAACTGGCTCAATAGTATTGGGACAGCTGTGTCTCGGGCGCTATCGCATAGAACGCGAGCATGTGTTTCTCTTCCACTTGAGTTTACTAATCAAATAAGGTTAAAATGTTCACGGGCGATGATGGGAGATAACAGGCATTTTTCTCATCCACGTATTTATCTTCTAATGGAGGTGACACTGGCGTGCAGTGCTGGGTATGGGCCAGGGAACAGGTCCCCCCTCCTCAGATGGCCATCGCCCCCACCAGAGAACCCACATCCCTTCACCAGGGACCACGGGCCCCTCCCCCGCTACCCCCCAAGAGCTCTGAGGTTTCCAGGCTGTTTTGGTTTGGCCTGGCCTGTCCCGTTGTTCCTCCGGATCCCGCGTCGGCACGCCGCCTTCCGGTACTTGTCATTCTACCTTCCGGTTCCGCCCCTGCTGTCACCAGCGGCAAGAGCTCATCTTTTTTTCAGAGCTGAAGAGTCCTCCAGCCTCCTTCACACGCTCACCTGCCACCGGGCACTCAGGTGGCGCCCAGCACCGGGCTCCTGCGCCCAGTGCTGTGGTGGACACTTGAGTCCCGGCCCGTGGCCCTGCTGGAAGTTGAAGGGCAGATCGTGGGGGCCCGGGATGCCCTTGAAACTGGATGCACCGATTTGCGGGGACTCACGTTTCTCTGCAGTCTCCACAGCCATCGGGAACTCGGGGAGTCTCTGACCTCCCCGCTAGTCTAGGCTAGTGTCGAGGTTCTGAGCGGGCGCAGCCGCAGGGCAGGAAAGCATCTCGGGACAGGGGCACCCACCGCTCAGGCAAACACTTAGAATTTTCTGGACCGGAGCGTGTTCCGAGAGGGCAGACGCGGCTGTGCACAGCGCACCCGGCAAACGCTGCAAGTCAGGCCGGCGCCGGCTGCCTTCTCGCCGGCCTCCTGCCCGCCCTCGCCCAGAGACGGCGGAAGGCGCTCACCTCGGCCAGCCGGGGTCTGCCGACTCGCAGGTTACAAGGCGCTCGGAAAGGAACATTCAACCTTCATTTTCCAGCAGAGGAACACCCATTTCAAACTGCAGGGCCCCTAACGTGTCTCGCCACCCTGGAGACTCGGGGCAGGGCTGTCCGTGCTGTGGGGAAGGCGCGAGGCCCTCAGTGACCCAGCGTCCTGCCGTTTCATCATGACTGCCTGGTCTCTGCCAGCACCCGCATGCCTACCTGCACCGCATGCCTACCTGCACCGCATGCCTACCTGCACCGCATGCCTACCTGCACCGCATGCCTACCTGCACCTCGCCGCCTGCTCCGGGGCCTGCGTTTTCCACTTTCAGAGTCTCCTATTACAGGACAGGGCGGGGGTGTGGGGGTTGAGGTTGGTGGTGCTGCTAGAAGCCCCGGCCTCTCGCATGGGTAGGAAAGGAAGCTGGTGTCAGAGAAGCAAAATCCTAAAATTTTGTCTTACTTGGGATAGATCTGTGTAAACTGATTTTTTATGTACATACAAAAGCTCTGTCAGAAGCAGCCGCCAGCCCTGGCGCTGACTGGGGTCTCCAGATACCATTTCCATACCCGGGGTGCGGGGCGGCGGCTGGGCCTGGCAGGGCGGGGCTGTCTTGGCGACTGGAAGCTGAAAGACCAGCCGGTCGCAGGCCGCGGGGTCCCTGCCCAACAATCCGGGCAAAACACAAAGGAATCCTGGCGCAGGGGCCGAGGGAAGTCCTGGCCCTGGAGGAGGGCGGGGGGCGTTTCCAGTGAAAAGCTTTTGAAGGGGCAGCGTTTAGGTTTCTAAGTGGGGCGTCAGCGTCACCAAATCCTCTTCCTACATGTGGGTGGAACTTAAGAAGGTTCCGACGGGGCAGCGAGGTGGTGGGGCCAGGTTACAGGATGGGTGTGGAGAGGGGGTGTCCCGCCCTCTTCACCGCAGATTTGCAGGGGGACCCAGGGGCTTCGGGGAGATGGGAACCAGAACCTGGCAGCTCTCCCGTGAGGGGCACGTGGGGAGAACCCCCACAGCCCGGCGGCCCAAGGGCAAACAGTAGGCACCAGAGGAGCAGGTGGGACCCAGCTCCCCTCAGGAAGTTCTATTTCTGGTGGCTTCAGGGACAGGCCTGGGGCAGTGTCTCCTCCCTCCCCACTGTCCCCCCCAACAGCTGCTGCTCCACAAGGTGGTTCACTCCATGCCGCAAATGGGAACTGGACCCCCAGGAGCCTGACCCTCAGGGTCTAATCCTGGCAGTGCTAAGGGGCTGACATGGGCTGAGGGGCCGGGTCTGCGGGCCCAGGGTAGGGTAGCAGCTCCCATCTGGTCCAGGCTGCCCGAGTGCTTCTGGGAGCACAGCCCCGGAGCCAAGTGCACCCTGGCAGCTACAAGAGCGGTTTCCTGGAGGGCCCTAGGGCTCACCCCTGGAGCAGAAGGGGCTGACTTGTGACCCCACGGCCCTTCCCTGGCACCCCACCCGCTTGGCGAGGGACCTCAGGCCTCTCTGTATGGTGCTGGCACCACCCACGTGAGGTCACTGAAGGGGGGCTGAGGGAGGAAATGAGGGCCCAGCGGGAGCCCACATCCAAAGAGCTAGGAAACCCCTGGGTGCAGCCCCCCAGTGAGGCGCCAGGACTCCTGGGAAAGCTTGTTTAATAAGTACGATTCCAGCTGGGCCTGGCCATGGCCAAACCTACCCCAGATGAGCTCCAGCCCAAGGCCAGGCTCTGCCCTCTGAGAGCAAGCCAGCCTCCCCACGCTGTGTCAGGGGAGAGAGGGAGAGGCCCTGCCCGACGGCTTGCTCCCCACCTCCACCTCCTGCTGGTCTCAGCCAGAGGGAGGCGAGGGGTGCAGCTGGGCGCCGGGCATGGTCGCCCATGGAGGTGTGAGCCAGGCCTCAGGGCTGTCCCCAGGCGTCCAGGCCAGAGGGCAACAGCAGGGTCTGCTGCCCCAGCGCCAGGCCCCCTCGCCTTCAGGGCCCCCGAGGGCAGCCTGGCTGGCGTGGCGGCACAGGGCACCCTGGCTGGTCCCGGCTCGAACAGGCCAGACCCAGCGCGGGGCTGGGAGGCCCAGGGCATCACACATAGTCTAGAATCTCGGTCTCCATCTCGTTCTCACTCGCGTCTGACGGCTTGAAGTCCTCCTCATCCTCCTCCTCCTCCCCCGACTCGGACGTCAGCTGCTCCTTCCCGCCGTCGGCTTTGCTCGGGCTAGAGAAGAGAGCTGGGAGGGACAGAAGGCCAGAGTTACCCCAACACAGGCTGCCGGGGGCCTGCGGGCAACCAGGGCGGCGCTCTTGAGGGACTCGTGGGGCAGGACGGCGTGGGGGCCGGGCTAACAGCACTGCGGGAACATTCTGCTTGGAGCTTCCTTTTGGGGCAAGGGCCACGGCCTAGTTTCAGGCTCGGAGGTGCAGGGGCCTGCTCGCGTCAGCCGGTGGGGGTGGCTGTGCCTGGTCCCCAGCAAGAAGCCGTGAGGGGCCTACTGAGTGCTCTCCCTGCCTGGTCAGACCCGCAGCCCAACGAGAGCCCAGCCCCTGGGACAGCGGGGAGCGGGGTGCAGGGTAAGGGACCTGGGCTCCTGCTGGCCCATCCCCACTCTCCCCTGGATGTGGGACGGCGTCAGGGCGTAATGTTCAGGCCCCAGCGGCGGCACTGCCCAGCCAGGCTCCACCCGGGGGGCCTCAGCCCGGTGGGGGCAGTGCCTCCCTGCCCCTTGCCGCGCGGCCCTCACCAGGCCTCTTGGAGCGGATGGTCTGCCGGATCATGAGGGACATGGCGTCCCGCAGGTCGTCGCTGGTCTTGGGCAGGCACCACCCGTCCCGCTCCGTGCAGGCGCTCTCGGCCCCGTCGTTGCGGTGAATGATCTTTTGCAACCTGGGGGTTGGGGAGTCAAGTTCTGGGCTGGGGTATCTGTGAGCTTGGCCGCGCGCTCGGGAGCGGCCCCAGTACAGCCTGTGAGGAGCAGCTGGACAGCGCGCTCCTGGGCCTGCTTGGCCCCTGTGCACACAGCATGTTCCCTGTGAGAGGAGCTGGCAGCTCGCCCCAGACTTGAGGCCGTATTTAACCTGCACCCCGGCCCCCACTTTGTAACTGCCACTAAAGCAAGTGGATTTGAGGGTTCTGAGAGTCAGGTCAGGCCCCGAGGAGCAGGGATTTCACTAGAACAGATGCTGCTCAGGGCGCAGCCTTGGGGACGTGAGCCCAGAGTCCACCCCAACCCCAGAGGGGGCCTTCTCCCCAGACTCGCGCCCACGTGCCATGAAAGAGCTGCTGGAAACACACTGGGAGAGCCTGGACCCGAGTTCCCGGTCCCACCTCACGCCAGGTCCCCCCTACTTACTCCTCCACGTTCAAATCGCACAGCTGGTAGAACATCTGTCGATATGGCGGCAAGGCCCCCTCCCGGAAGATGTAGACCGAGTCCTGGGGAGAGGTGGGGAGAAGGGAAGGTGGTGGAGCTGCCCGAGGCAGGCGGTGTTAGAGACACACACGCTGGCCAACCACGGAGGCCTCTCTAAGGAGCTGGCTGGTCCCTGGATTCCCGCCCTCGGCCTGGAGCACAGGAGTCGCCTGTGTGGCAGGTCAGGGGCTCAAATGGCCTCACGCTGGCTCTGCTGTCCGAGGCTCCCTGCTGACCTCAGGGATCGATGGCCTCCGGGAGGTCGCAGGCCCCAACATGGCGTGGCTCAGCCAGAGCCACGCTCGCCTCCTCGCCAGGCAGGGCCCTACACACCGGACACTGTCCCACTGCCCAGCTGGTGCTCGCCCTTGCCCCGAGCAGCCAGGAGACAATGGTACAGGGAGATTGTCCCCAGGCCCTCTGCCCTCTCCTGCAGGCCCACTCTGTGCCACCCCCGATGTGAGGTATCTGACTCCAGGTGGGCCCCCCACTGTGGCACATGTGCAGCAGCAGAGCATGGGGAAGGCCTCTGGGAAGGATCTTCTGCAGGTGCAGATGTGGGCTGTGGGCCCTGGCGCGTGCCCCTGCAGCACTGCCCGCCCTCCAGCTGGGCTGCACGGTGCTGTATTCACTTGAGCCCAGGCCTTACCTGGCCTCCCACGTCCGCCGCTCATGGGCAGCCCTGCACAGCAGTGGTATGGGTGCCCCTGAGGCCAGCCACCACCTGTGGGCACAAGCGGCCTTCTGCGCCCCCTGCCTAAGCTCCCTTCCTGCTGCCCAGGCCACCCTGACGGCGGGAGTGGAGTCTAGGTGCTGGGCAGGCAACACTGCCCCACAGAATCCCGGGGGTCACAGTGCAAGCCCTGCACAGCATGTCAGGCCTGCACAGGGCCCTCACTGGTGCCCAGGGGCACCCACCTTGAGCTTGTACTTGCTGGAGGCCGACTTCCGTGTGCCAGCCATCCCCGAGGGACCCAGGCCCTGCTTCAGGTCATGCATGGTGACAGGCTGGCTGGCTGCAAGGGACGACAGCAGTGCTGTGGATACAAGGTGGCCTTGCTCCCCACGCGCACCCTCTGCCCGCCCGCCCGTCCAGGTGCCCGTTTCGTCCACACTGCCGGTGAGGGCGAGGGCCTGCCTGCAGAGGCTGGCACTCACAGGTCTTCTTGACGGTGATGGGGAGGCTGTAGTTGTAGGTGCTGCGCTTGGCCTTGACGGGCATGTCGCTGGGGGCGTAACCTGCAGACCAGGGGGCGCATCAGGCGGGGCTGGCCTGTGTGCCTCCTGGATCAGCACTGGCTCCAGAGAAGGGGGCACTGACCACGCAGGCTGCGGGCAGTGGCTCATGAGGCCGGAGCTGCACGTCCACACGGCCTGGCCCGCGACAGGCGCCGGGTGACCACGGGCCAGGCAATGATGGCGCCTGCGGCTCAGGAGCTCAGGGGCAGCAGCCGGGCCAGGGCAGAGCAGACCCTCACTCTACGCTGTTGTGCGGCCCGCAGAGCTCCCCAGGGGGAAAGGGCTCTTGTTCTCGCCACTGGAGACATCCTTAGCACAAGGGAGAAGACTAGAAGCGGGAGAACAGAAGAGAAAGACAAGGAGCAGATCCTGGTCATCTTTACCGTATTTCATTCCGCAGCGGATTCGGAAATCAAGCACCTGGTAGATCTTGGCTTCCGGGTGTTTCCGGGGGTCATATCCGTATCGGATCCACAGGCTTCTCCAGGGGCCTGTGATCTGAGAGAACCAGTGAGAGAACATGGAGGGTCAAGACCCACCCTTGGCCCCCTCAGGACAGAGGCCTATGCTGGGGCAGCACACACCCCAAGGCATGGACACGACTCTGGACCCCAGTTCTGCCCGTGCGCTGGCACCAGGGCTTCCATCTGGTGGCGGTGACGCGGGCCCTCCCCACAGTGTGTGAGCATGGAGACGCAGGCCCTTGCCACGAGCTGCAGCGCTCCGCGCTCTGTCCACGCTGCTGCTGGCCTGGCCTCACACGGCGCCCGGCAGGGCCTCAGGGTGAGAAGGCCGAGCGAAGAACCCACGGCCGCTCTCTGAGCCCTGGGGTATGAGGACGAGGGGCTGAGCCTTTCTTATCCCTGCCACGTGTCATGTCTTCTGCTGTGGCTCCACGCAGGGGCCCTTGGCAGGCAGAACCCCTTCATCCTGGCACTAAGGAGGACCTCGGTAATGATGCCCCCACCTCCATGCCCTCTGGGACTGAGTCCCCATCGGCTCTGCCCCCTTTGGCATAGGGAGAGTGGGCAGAGGCAGGGGGCCACTGTGGCTGGGGAGCTTGCGGCCAAACAGGTCAGTCCCCAGGGAGGTCCCCTAGGATCCTCCTCAGGGGTAAGCACCCCTCCAGGAAGGAGGAACAGGAACGGTAACCTGGCGACCGGTCCTTAAACAGTTCTTCAATATGAGGTCAGTTAAAAGCGTGATCCTTAACCCCAAAGCCACCCAAATCTGGCCAGAAGTAGGCCCTTCTAGGGGCTGTCGCACTGTCAGGGGTGGGCGCCTGCTCTTGCTGTGGCTCTGAGGGGACTTCAGGGGTAGGATGACCTGGGGAACTAAGCTGGGTGGACACTTACCATGTAATAGGCCACGAAGGGCAGCAGGACCTTGAGCTTGTCAGGGTGGATGCTGAGGTTGGCCTTGACAGCATTTCGTGACCAGATGGGGCGGATGTCGAACAGCTGGGGGGTGAGGCAGAGGCCACAGTGAACAAGGCAGCTCCCCCGCCCCGCCCCTCGCCGAGACCCGCCATCTTTGCCTCTGGGGACGCGGGGACAGGGGAACGAGCCCCGGCCGGGTCTTCCCAGAACCCGCAAGCTGGGGGGGCACTGGCAGGACGAGGCTGTCCAGCCCATGCAGGCGCTCGGCAGGTCCATGAGTGGACAAAGACAGGGCTGGGGCTGGGCGCCAGGCGGAGGCCACCTTATGACAAAGCCCCGACTGCCCCCCGCTGAGGGCATTCTAAGACGCATCTTCAGCTCTGGGCTTTCGGACACCACCCCGGGGCGAGGCATCCGGGTGCTACTGAACCCTAGCACCCGCTTTCATAAAGTCAGCTGCCCGGTGAGGGAGCTGAGGGCGAAGGGCCCAGCGCTCACCTTCCTCAGCTCCTCCTCCACCTTCTGGTCCATGGGGCTGGCACACACCTTCTTCCATGTCTGCACCGCGGCCTCCAGGGGCTGCGCGGGCACCTCGTCCTCCTCGAAGTTGACAAAGATGGCATTGTGGGGGCGCCGGGCCCTGCTCAGACCGATCAGGTTCTCCCCGGCGACAGGGGGGTTATTGTAGCCTTCCCTGCAGGCAGAGGGAGCCAGTGAGGCCCGGGGCACGAGGAGACTCCAGGCGCAGGCCTGGCAGGATGAGGCAGGGAGCCCCCCAGGCTCGTGGTGCCCGCGGTCCAGCATTTCCCTGGAAGCCTGGCTGGGGAGAGGAGCCTGCGCCCCCAGGCTGACGCCAGGAGCGAGAGGAAGTGACTGCCAGACAGCCGGTAGGAGCGGGGCCTGTGGCTCGAGCAGAGCTGAGGCTGGGGTGCAACAAAGGGCACCTGTGGGAGGCTGGTGACAGGCGGGGAGCAAACTCAACACCTGCTCAGCAGCCTTCACTGCTCAGCCCCCTAAGCCGCAAAATAATCCCTGAAGGAGCCCCTTCTTGGGGAAAGAACAGAGGCCCAGAGGTCAAAAGCTGCCTCCCAGCTCCTCGTAACAATGTTGCCCAGTGCCAAACCCAGAGAGGCTGCGGAGACCCCAGCCCACCCGGGCCAGGTCTCCAGCCCACCCAGGCCATCCCCTGCAGCCAGGCCTGCGCCGGGAAGTGAGCTGGGAAGTGAGCTTCCGCAGGAATGAGCAGCTACCGCTGTTGCTACAGCCCCTCGGAGCACAGGGGCTAAATGCCAGGTGCCAGGCTGCGCTCTCTGCTCACACAGGGCACGCCCGGTGCTCGCAGGTTACCACGGGAAGGTGGGCGTGGCAGAAGCCCGCCACCAGCTTTACCACTACTGCTTCGTGGCTAATTTCACCTCATCGGACCCTCCCCAGGCCACCTGTCCCGACCACCTAGCCTCATCCGGGGCATCGCTGCCTCTTAAACATGATCCCATTTAATTTCCTACAAGGATGGGCCAGCTGCACGTCTGTGCTAAACAGCAGATTTGTCCAATTTGGGAAACCAAATTGGAAAGTCGAGGCCTTTTTCGAGGTGACTCCACTAGGAACCCGTCCCCATAGGGCAGCTTCACCCTGATTTCAGATGCCTCCCAGAAACCCCGGGCACCTGAAAAGGAAGCCCTGTGGCTCACTCCGGGAGGGGAGCTGTCTGCAGGTCGGCAGCAGCAGGGAGGACCCCTGAGCCCCTGCTGTCCCCCGAGGAGGGACACCCTCAGGCCAGCCTCCTGGTTGTCCTGGGACCCGACTGTGAGGAGCTCAACATCCCCAGACCCAGGCAGGGAGCAGCCTGCGCCCCCCCTCAACAGTACAGTTAGCCAGGAAGGCCAGTGGGGCAGAAAAAATCAATGTGGTCCTGGGAGAAAAGGCAGGTTCTCTCCACGAGCGGAAAATCGATACACCACTCAGGGAGGAACACAGGCCTGGGGCCAAGGGCGGCTCCCCGCCCCCCAGCCCCCTCCCCGCCCCAGGCTCGGGTGCAGCTGCCTGCTGGCCCTGCAGGACAGAGAAGTGACTCAGACGCTGCCAGCCGGTGCCGGGGCCACCCAGTGCCGGGGTCAACACCCAGTGCCGGGGCCACCAGTGCCGGGGCACCAGTACGGAGGGAGCTGTTTCTTTTTTTCTACTTTTGTTTGTTTCTGACCATAAGAGTAAAATGTTTGTGGGGGAAAAGTACTCACAACGCTTCAGAAAACAGTAAACTTGCAGACCCCTGCCTCACGCTCTGTGGCGCTGCGCGGGGTCTGGTGGAGTCATGGAAACCACCGCTCACTCAGGGCTCCCGCCCGCGGCGGCCCGGTTCCTGCTAGTTACAGGTTTCCGTAATGTTTTGGTCTAACGAGCCTGATTTAGAAAAGGCCACGGGAGGGGAGGGGGGTGTATGTGCGCTCGGGGAGGGGGTGCTGTGACTCCCCCTCACAGCCTCCCCCGTCACAGCTCTCCTGAACGAGGAGGGGCGCCAGGTGCAGGGGGAACTGCAGCATCAGTCCTGAGAGACGCCCCTCACGGCCCCTGAGGCGCTGCGGTGCTGGGGGAGCAGGAGCTGCTGGTCCTGGAAGCTAGGACGCCGGTGGGGTCCATTAGAGGATTGTTTTGGAAAATGTTTGGAGTGTTCCATGGTCTTTTTCTTTAAAGAAAACACTACACCTTCTGCCCAAAATTAACTCTGAGCGCCTTACCCCTTCCACTGTCCACACTCCAGGGCCACTGGCCCCACGCTGTTCTTTAGCTAGAGCCAGTGCTCTGATCTGGAATATTCTTCCAGGATCGCCCCTGTTCCGCTGTCACAGCTCAGATCTGTCTCAGATGCTAGCAAGACCGAGAGCCGTCTGACACCCTAAGCCCCCGCCCTGGGGTGACCCTTTATCTCCCTGAAGACACGCATCTGGACACCGGCTCCCCTAGGTCCCCGGGAAACATGGTTATTCAGACAACTGTCCTGAGCCCACACTTCCAGACTGTTCCAGGCTTGTGTTAGCCCTGCGCAAGGTCCCGACACCCCAGGCAGACTGTAGGGTAAGTAAAGTGTCAGGCTTTTCTGCTCTCCCACCATTAGGATGGAGGATGGACCCTTGCGGTCCTGCACGCATGCCTGATGGCGGGCACCTGGAGTAGGGTGTGGGCATGCGTAAGTGGGTGCACCTGGGCTGACAGACTGGGCTTATAAGAGCAGCATCACGGAGACGCCAGCAGAAGCAGAACCACGAGAGCAGAGAAAGAACCACCAGAGAACGCTGGAGAGCCCAGGTAGAGTGAAGACTTGCTGGGGGCTGGGAGACCTGCCGTGTACCTGGTAAATCCCAATAAAAGCCTGAAAAGCCACCGAGGGCACCTAGGACTCGCTCCTCCTTTACCCGTCTGCTCGGGCCATAGAGAACCCTCCTGCCCTTATACAGACCGAGCTGAAGGAGCCTCGTCCCTGTCATCTGACCAGCCGCTTACTAATTCATCAAATCCGCCAGGCTCGCACTGTTCTAAGTATCTCCAAACTCTTCAGTCTCTTTAACCCCCGAAAAGCACAGGGGCGTGGGCACCACTGTGAGCCCGCTGCAGATGGGGACTCTGGGGGAGCAACCAGGCTCGTGCAGGACGGCCCGCCAGAGGGCGCCTCGCGCTCCCCACCACCAGGCTCTGTTTCTTGCTGCTCCGACAGTTAATCCGGGAACGTTCTCACCTGCGAGTCTGCACGGAGGCAAGCTCAGGTGTCAGTCCTGAGGCACACTGCTTCTCAACACAGGGAAGAACATCAACAATTGTAATAGCTTTTGCCAGATTGTTCTCCCGCTGACCTGACCCGGGGCTCCTTCAGGAGAAGGGGTCTCATCACACCTCCAGGACACGCCTCAGGGACAGCGCAGAGCGATCCTCCTGCTGGGCACGGCCTAGGACAGATAGGGTCTCCCCTTCTCGTCAGGGCCCCTTGTCACCAGCCGCACTGCCCCTAGAGGCGCAGTGGCCATGGGCTTGGGCAAAGCCCCTGCTGGCCTGGGGGGGAGCGGCGCCTTGGCTGCCCAAGCACGAAAAGGCCACATTTTTGGAAGCTTGAGACACGACACGGCAAGACTCCTGGACGAACACCCCCCGCTACGGGTCGGGCCGTCTGCCAGCGCCCTGCTTCCTTTTGCTGGTGGGCTCAGGGGGGCCTCACTCTGAACCCCGTGCTAGTGAGGACCCCGGGGGCCTTACCGGTGCTGCGTCTCGGGCCGGTAGAAGTAGTCGACAGGGGCGTCCAGCCGCGAGAAGATGGGCGGGGGTATGTAGAGCGGCAGCTCCTGGTGGAAGAAGCCCTCCTTCTCGGGCCGCAGCAGGAGCACCTTCTCGTACATGGACACGTGCCGGCCGCCAGGCTCCGTGTGCACCGCCAGGTACTGGAAGTCGGACATCCCTGGCAGGAGAGGGCCGCCGGCACGCCCAGTCACGCCCACGCAGGACCTGGCCGCGTAGAGCCCCGCGCCCACGCCTCCTGGGGGGTCGCCGACCAGCCGCAGGACCGACACCACAGCCTTCGCGGCGCCTCGTGCGCCAGGCCGCACACGCTCCAAGTCACTGGCTAAGTGTCGTGTGGGGGGACGGGTTCTGCGGTGGGGGAGGCCAGTCCAGGGCAGCGCCTCAGTGTGCAGCGCGTGGGACCCCCGGGCCCTGCTGGCGCAGACACCGAGATGCCGCACGTCTGACGAGCCCCAGGGAGGCGGCTGCAGCCAGCCGGGGACCCCGAGGGGCAGGCTGAGGGCCAACAGTCGCCAAGTGACTCCCTGGGAAACCTGGCTCCGCCGCGGGGGTCCTACGTTCCCCCCCATGACCGACGCTCGAACGCCCACCCGTGGCCCCGTTTTGTTCTTTCCCTTTCTCCTCCTGCCCCCTCAATCTTCATTCCCATCAGTCTCCCCTAGCGTGGCAGCCGTAACTGCAGACACTTCCGAGGCTAGCCAGCCGTCTGGCAAGGGCCGCCCGCGTGCCTGGCCTGGCCTTTAAGGGCATCGGCCCTGGCCTGAACCTTCATGAGGGCTGAAGGCCCGGTGCAGACGAGGGCCTGGGCTGAGGGAAGCCGAGCTGCCGCCCAAGGGACACACCCCAAAGTTCCCATAGTTCCCTTCCCTGGCCCCACCTTACCGCCTCCTGTCTGGGGTCCCCGTGGTAACAAACCCAACTGAGGGCCACGAGGGCTGTCGATCTACTGAGATTCAAAGGGACGCGCGGTCCCACAGGGCTGGGGTGACCTGGGAAGGCTGCAGAGGGAGCGGGACCAGCAGCAGCCAGGACCGAGAAAAGGTCTCACACCACCGGGGGTGGAAAACTGGAGGCCAGTTTTACTTGGGTCCCACACAGTGGGCTTAAAAAAAAGAGGGCAGTTGCTCATAGGCTGCAGCTTAGGGGTGCAGGCGACGGGCAACCAAGGGACGGGCGGAGGGGGCTGCTGGCTGCTCTTAGCCCGTCCTCCTGCCTGGGCAGATCCTGCCACCTCACACGGCCCCTCAGGCAGGGGCTTGAACCCCCCCAAGGGCTAGGAACACACTTGGCAGAGACCTTGAAATTTGTAAATGGTGGAGACGATGCCAAGGATCTCGATGTGGAACGCGGCCGTGGCGGGGGCCTTGGGCCCCTGGCCCTCGGGCCGCCTCGTTTTCTTCCTGATGCGGAGCAGCAGGCTGCTGGTGCTGAAGCGGTTGGCGCACACGGGGTGGCAGTAGGGGTCCTGGGGCCGGAAGTACAGCTCCAGCCTCTTGGTGGGGTCCGCGTAGATCTGTGGCGAGGCCAAAGGAGAAAAGTGAAGCCGGGACCAGCCGGCAGGGAGCTGCTCCCGAGCCAGAGCCCAATGGTGACCCCGACATCCAGGGTCTCACACTCAGCTTTTCACTCCCAAAGACTCATTTTGAAGCCCAAGGATCTTAGTTTTTATTTAGTAGGAAAAATGAGCAGAGTTTCTTCCTTGTCCGGGGCTGTAAGGCCAATGGTCAGGTAAAGCCACCAGCTATCAAGGTGCAATCTGGGGGTCACATGACTTTTCTGGTGCTGCCTGGGTCTGCATGGATCTACTCATCTCCCGAGCTTATGGGGGCTCTGAGCCTTGTGCAAGACTTTCTACTCTAGCAAACTAACCCCCCCCCCGCCCCAGGGTCTTGGTATGCAGCCACATGCAGACGCTTGTAGGCGCAAGGAGGTGACATCAATTGGTAATCACCACCTTGGCTCTGACTGGCTGTTACTTATCTTCCCCAAGTCCCGGTCCCTTCTCCCTACAATGGACGTAGCACAGCCTACCTCACAGGACTGTCACGAGCAGTAAATGACAACACGTGCAGACCACTTGGCCAGGCACCTAACAGACACTCAGCCTGTGTGCCCCACCCCCGTGAAAATGACTGCCCCACACAGGTGTCAGTGTGTGTGTCTGAAGGCACCACCGGCAAGCTCATAGGACAGGGCCTGCCGTTAGGAGGAGCTCAGGCAACACCTAGGAAAAGGAGATTCATGTATTTTTTATTTTTTTTTTAAAGATTTATTTATGCATACAAGAGCTGGGGTAAGGCAAGAGATGTGGTGGTGAGAGGATTTACCAGAGACACAGTGGGGAGCAGAACAGGCAGACTGACTGAAATACACTGCTGAGGGGAGCAGCGGGGAGACAGGGGAGGTCTGCTGTGCCATGTGGGTAGCTCCCTGGCCGGGGATGGAACTCGTGCTGCAGTGGCTGTGGACAGCTTCATAGTGCTGAGACTTAACCCCTTATGCCACCAGGGAGGCCCCATCCTGGAGAATCCCTTCTCACCAAAAACACATCTGAGACTTCTGAGCTGGGAAGGGCCCTGGATGTGGCCTGGCACAGTGGAGGTGCCCGAGAAACATGGATGGACTGAATGAATGGCCAGAATCTTTTCCAAAGGGTTCACGGTGTAGCTGGGGAGATATCCCTGGGGTTGGTGATAGTGAGGGTGCAGGCAATGCCACGGGAGCGTGATCAGGATAAAAGAACAAACGCCACCGATGGGTCCACTATGGCGTCCTGTGCTTAATGTCCAGTTGAGGCTTCTGGACATGAAGGATGAGGAAGCAGACAAGGAGAGCCCACACCGCAGAGGGGCGGGGCTTGTCTGACCTACCTTTCCTACCTGCGTCTTTAGCTAAAAAGGGGGACGGGAATGTATTTACTGCACCAGATTTTTGTGAGGACTCAGTCGTGCAATTGAGAACTATTCGGGAAGCAGGCACCCACAGGAGTGACCGAGACACACAGGGCCCTGCTCTCTTGGAGTTTACAGTCCCAGAGCTAAGACAAGGAATAAGTTGAGATAAAATTTCAGATTGCAATTAACAGGGTGAGAAGGCAGATGTTAACTGCCAGAGTCCACTTTAGTTAGGACAGTCGGGGTAGGCCTCTCCAAAGGAGAGACGGCTCAAGATCTGGTGCAGGAAAAGTGCTTACACAGAGCTAAGGACTCAACCCAGCTCCTCTGTTTGCCGGGAGACCTTTAAACAAGTTCATTGACTTCCTTGTAAAATGCGGACGGTGACAGTGTCTACCTGGTTAAACCAGGGTCACCTGCAAGTACAGCACCTCGCACTGTGTGTGGTACAGAATGTTAGCTGTCGCTACTTGTAAAGCTAGAAGTATACCACACTGCTCCTCCGTTGCCCTGCCTGCGAAGCAGCAGTGTTGTGGGCCGCGCGGGGTGAAGATTCAAAGTCCAAGTAGAGAGAGGCCTAGAGGGGCTTATGCCTGGAAGGTGCAGCCCCATGCACGCGAAGTCTCATTTTTATTTAGAACCAGGTCCCCAGAAGGTGGGCAAGCACGTGGGGATGTGTTATCCGGGATGCGACGTTGTCTGGTGCCAGCTAAGGTGGAGTGACCAGGGGCTATTGCTTGGGCGGGGTGGGGGTTTGGGGGGTGGGGTGTCTCCACAGTTCCTGCCAGCCAAAGATCCTGTCTCTAGTCCCTGTTCCTGCCTAACTTTCTGCTAATCTGTACACGTAAGGTTTGCAGCTGGTCTTGCTAGTCTGGCCGTAATGCCTGCCTGCTGCTCTCGGCAGATGCTGGATTCCCGGCAGGCTCCTCACACCAGGTCCCGCGCCCGGGTGAGAGGCCCCGCTGGCTCCGCGTGCGGTTTGGCCGGCAGAAACCCTGGCCCGAGGCGATGCCCGCTGGCAAGGGGGCGGGCCGGGGGCTCCACGTCCTCCTGGCCTCCAGACAACGATCCGCGCCGCCCGGGCCTAGCCGCGCTCCTCCGCGACAACGGGCCGGCTGCGGCCGCGGCAGGTTCAGCAGGACGCGGGGGGAGCCGGGACCCCGCCCGCCCGCCCGCCCGCGCGCGCGGCCCGCCTCCTCCCCGGCCCGGGGCCGCCCCGCTCCGTACCCGGGAGACGCCCTCCTCGCCGCCCAGCGTGGAGAGCATCCTGGCCACGTCGCGCACCACGCCCGGGAACTCCACGCACACCAGGCGCCGCTCGCGCCGCAGCTCCACCGGGACGGCGCCTCCCGGGCCCGCGTCCGCCGCCCCCGCCGCCATCCCGGCCCGGCCCGCCGCGGCCCGGCGTCCGCGCGCCCCCGCAGGCCTCGCCTCGGTGGTTCCGGGAAGAGACGTTCCGGCTTCCTCGCCGCGCCCGGACTCGAGGGCCCGCGGGAACGCGCGCCCGAGGGGAGCCCGAGGCTTGGGGGCGAACGACCGCCGGCCCTCAGCTGGGGCTGAGGTGAAGCGGGGGCGCCCGGGGGCGGGGCGAGGGCCCGTCTCGCACCCTCCCGCGCGGGGCCCGGGGCCGCTGTCGCGACTTCAACCAATGAGAACCCTAAGCCCGGCAGAAATTTTAGCCAATGAGGAGCCAGGAGGCAGCCAGGTTCCACCCCCCCCAAAGGTTAGCCAATAGAGAGTCATGACTAGGCCGCGTCATCGTCCGTCGTCGCCGTCCACCAATGGCAGCTCGGGGCGGGCCCTGGAGAACTTCCGGTGCGCTTCGCGCGGGGAAGCTCGCGGCGGGGAGCTGACTTCCGGGCCGGGTCCGCCGCGGGGTCCCTCTGGCGCGGACCCCGCTTCTGTCCGCCGCCCCGGGACGGGGCTTCCGGCGGCCCCTGGAGGAGATGACGCGGGCGTGCGGCTGGAGACGCCCCGCCGCCTGGCAGGGTGCCCTGGCGCCTGCCGCCCGCCGCGCGCTGCTCGGAACCGAGCAGAGGCGCCCGGCCCATCGGGGTGCCGGGGCGAAGCGGGGCGCCGCGCAGGGGGCAGCGAGGGCGCCGGCCCACAGGCCGGACAGGTCCTAAAAAGCGGGTGCCTGACCGGGGAGCCCTCGACGCGGCCCTTCAGGAGCGCGCGGTCTCCTCTGGGCGTTTAAAGGGATCCGGTGCGGAAAATAGGCCAGACGGGGCCAAAGTGGACTCAGGTCAACCGGGGGGCTGCGCAGTACGCGCCAGAGGTGCTGTCCGGGGCCAGGACGTGCAGTGAGTGCAAAGAAAGGACTGGACTTGAGGCTGTAAGGAGTAAGAGCAAGGGACCCCTGGATTTGAGTACCCCAAGTTTCTGAAGTGATTTTTTTAAAAAAGTTTTTATTTATTTATGCATACAAGAACTGGGGTACAGGCCAGAGGCACGGGGGTGAGAGGATTCACCAGAGACAGAGTGGGGAGCAGAACAGGCAGATTGACTGAGATCCACTGCTGAGGGGAGCAGCGGGGAGACAGGAGGGGTCTGCTGCGCCCTGTGGGTGGCTCCCTGACTGGGGTTCGAACTTGTGCAGCAGTGGCTGCAGACAGCCTCACAGTGAGGTTCTTTAACCCCTTTGTGCCACCAGGGAGGCCCCTCTGAAATGATTTCTAAATCAAAAGAGGACGTTGTTCTAGATGGGCTTAAGGAAGTCAAAGGACTGCAGACTGCCATACACCTCAAAAAGAAAAATGTGTGAGTTGAGTGTGAAATATGACATTATTTTGTAATTGGGAGACTTTGCAGGAAACAACACTCTGAAAGAGCAGCCCCTTTTGCCACCCCCAGCAAAGTACAACCCCCTGCAAGAAACGGATGACCTGGAGGGACAGTGCATTTCATCAGGGGGGACCAGTGGGCACATGTGTGATCTGACACCAAAGAATATAATGTATGGTGGGGCCCTGTGATAAAATTTCCTTTCCAACTTCTCATATTCTTTTGCTCTCCTCTGCTCACTGAACAGTCTTCAGATGGTTGGTTTAATTTTCCAGAGAGGAGAACCCAAATAACATGTTTCTCCCCTCTCTGGAGCTGTAGAATACTAAATTGGTGTATCTACATTAGACCCGTGTGAGTTTGGTGCCCTTGAGTCAGTCCTGGTGACCTCATCGCTGGCAGAGTTGACCAGTAACGTTAGCTGCACCAGGACATTTGAAAATCATGCAATATTGGGGCCGTGCTTATGCTGGACACTGACCCATCTGAAATTCAAATTATCTAGATGTGTTTTTATCTGCTAAATATAGCACCCTACCTCTGGCTACAGTAGGAATTGAGTCTGAACCTGCACATTTGACTCTAAATCACCTGGAAATCTGAGTGAGCCAACTGGCTCCTGACAGCACCCACCTCCCAACCCGAGGACCCGCCGGCTCTCTCTGCTCTCATCTGCTCCCCCTACAGCAGCCAGTGACCTCGGTAGAAGTCTCATGCTAGCCCTGTCTCCAGGGACCCTGCCCCTTCCCCACACTGCCCCACCTGGTCGGCTCCTCATCTTCCTTTATGTTTAGCTTGTCATTCACCTTGCCTGGGAGGTGGTGCCAACTTCTGCCCATGGAACCCAAATCCACCTCATCACACAGCACTGTTTTATTTCTAGTTCTCCTCCTGCAGAACGGCAGTTTCCTGAGGCAGGGGCCCGAGTCTGGATGACTGACCGCTGGCTTCCTGGCCCTGGCACAGAGACTACTTGCCTTTTGGCTCCTTTGAGCCTTGTTTGGTCCAGCTCCCAGATGGGGCATGGTCACCAGAGAGAGAGGCCCCAGAGTCACGGGATCTGAGGGGAGAACCTGGATGGAGAAGACAGGGCCAACTGGGCACAGAGCCTGGTCTTACCTGGGATCCAAGGAAAGGACAGCAGAGGTAGAGCTGTGAGGCCAGGCTGGGAGCAGAGGGGAGCCAGGAGGGACCAGGAGCCCAGTTAAAGAAGCAGCTGGACTTTCCCCCCAAATAATTGTAGCCTTCAGACCAGACACCAATCCTTAAAATCTACATATTGAGGGGCACCTTGGTTGCCTGGTTTCAGGGCGTCCTCTTCCACCTTGTTCCCTGCAAGATGGTAGTTTTCACCTACGGGAAAGAAGGGCTCTGAGGTCCCTGTGGCCCTCACCACCTCTGGTGGTCAGAATTGGAGTGTTGTGGAGGTGACCTGTACATGCCACTCCCTCTGGGGAGTGTTTGTTGCCCTGGAGAAAGGTGGGGACACCTGGCACAAGCCACTGCAGACCCAGGGCTCAGCTCCCCTTCCCAGACTCAGACCCTCCCATCGCCGACAGGCTGAGGGTAACTCGGCTGAGCCTTAGCTTCAGCCTCAGGCCTTGCGGAAGCTCTGCTTTCAGCACTGTCTGGAATGTGAAGTGGAAGCTCAGCCCTGTCCTCAGATGGACGGGCCACTTCCTAACGCTCCATCTGTGTGTATGGACACTGGACTGTGGTGGGGAATATGCATGTTGGAATGTTTTACTTCCCGTGGCAGGAGTGAGAATGGGTGGGGAGGGGCGTGTTAGATGAAACAGGTTGCTTCTATATTGGAGCCCACAGGATTCCCACTGTAGTCAAATATTAAGAAAAACATGACTTCCGTTCATTAATTCCACAAAAACATGCTGTCTCCAGCCTGTGCCAGGCAGCAGATCCCGCCTTTCAAAGGAGGCAGATAATAGACACATACAGTCCTCACACCTGGCCCTCGAGGGACTCCACGTGCCAAGGAAAGAGCAAGCAGGTGCTGGACACAGCTCGGACAGGTCCACACCCTAATCCCTGCAACCTGTCGGCGTGACCTTGTTGGGGGGAGGGTCTTTGTGATTAAGCTAAGGAATTTGAGAAGAGGGTGTCTTCGGCCCTAAACCCAATGACGGGTGTCCTTAGAAGAGAAAGGCGGAGGGAGGCTGCCTTGTGACCCCGGAGACTGGAGTGATGTGGCTGCAAGCCAAGGAGAGCGGAGCTCCCGGAAGCTGCGAGAGGCCAGGAAGGATTTGACCTCGGCCCTTCAGAGGGAGTGCGCCCCCAGAACTGTGAAAACAAATTCTTGTTGGGTTTCAAGTCGCCAGTTTGCGGTCACTCGTTGCAGCGGCCACAGACCCGCGTGCAGGGGGCAGAGCTCCCGAGTTCCCAAATCGTCCAGGATTCATTTTTGAAACTCCGTCATGAGTGGGTCAGATTGTCTTCTCTCGAGGCATGGAAGGCTTTCCCTGGCGAGCAGGCGTCTTCATGCCCCACCCCCACCCCATCGTCCTCACCATTTCATGAGGTCAGAGACCCTCATTCCCAGTGCTCGCTGAGGCACTGCAGACTCGCCCCATCGTCACGGCAGGGTGGTTTCAGACGTGCTGCCCCGGCGCCAGCTCCAGCTGGCTCCTGTGTGTGACCCCACCTGGGCTCCGGCGCCGCTCGGAGGGCTCCTGCCCCAGCCCTGGGCCTGCGTCTGACTAGCACAGACGGGCAACAGCAGGTGACGCCAATCAGGTAATGGGAGCTGGGGGGTCAAGCCAGGACCAGGGCGAGTTGACTGTTTTCTGCCCCACGTGCCCCATCCCCTCCTCTAGACAGCAGCCCAGATCTCTGCACAGCTGGGCACCCCAGTCCTGGAGTGGTGTGGTGAAGGGTACCCCAAAGCTCCTCCATCCTCTTTCCCAGGGGGTGACTTTAAGGGGGGTGACTGTCCCAGGGTCCAGCCAAGCCCCAGTCCCTGCTCCCTGATTGACGACCTGAACAGTCCTGTCCCCACAGAAGCGCCACGTGGAATAGCATTTAGCCTTAGAAAGGAAGGAGATTCTGACACATACTCGTCTATAAAAGGAATGGACCTCGAGGGCATTACACTAAGAGATAAGCCAGACCAGGCACCGTAGGGTTCTGCTCATGTGAGAGACCTAAAGTAGTCAGATTCATAGAAAGTGGGGAGGTGAGCACCTGGAGTTCGAGGGGATAGGGAGTGGGTGTTTCATGGGGACAGGGTCAATTTGGGGAAAATGAACAAGTTCTGAGTGTGACAGGGTGATGGTGGCACAGCCATGTGAATGAACTTCACACCCCTGAATTAGAGTTCAGGGCTAAGATGGTATGTTTCATGGTTGTGTATTTTGCCACAATTTTTTAAAAAGTACAAACAGAGGAATTGCTTTTCATCCACATTTAGAAAGAAATCTCTCCCCCATCATTAATAACTGTGACAGTGCAGCATGCACATGTGTAAATGCACATTTTTTTTTTCATTTTTAAAAAAGATTGATGCATACAAGATCTGGGGTGCAGGCCAGAGGTGTGGGGGGTGAGGATTCACCAGAGACAGAGTGGGGAGCAGAACAGGCAGATT